GCTTCACGGATCCTGTCTGCATCCCTGATATCGGTCTGTCGCAAGATTGTGCTGTCTTGGATCATTGCAAAGGTACCGTAGAGTCGCGAATCGGCAGTTTCTTCTTGGCACCTTTCCTGGCACAAGAGACATGTACCGCTGGGGTATTTCCAAGTCTTGGTTTCATGGGAAGCCTCATCAGACTCAAGGTCGCTGAAGTCCTCTTCGCCCCAATCGATATCGCCTTGCTTCTCCAAGAAACTTTGCTGTTGCTGTTGGAACTGGGCCATTACCTTTGCATTTCTCTCAGCAGCATGCCTTCTCTTTGCTTCCTTTTCATTGTCGATGTCGATGGCTGGGGAGTTTGTATCGATGCGATCAAAGGGGAATTTGAGGGAGGCCGTTGCAGCCGCATAGGTTCGAGGTTGCTTTTGCCACAGTCGCTTGAGGATATGACGGATCTTGGGACCACACGAAGCAAATTCGCCTGTGACAGAGATCTTCTCCAGAAGACCCACAATGGTCAAATGACCAGCGGCAATCTCTCTAGTCTTGGTGAGAGCATGGAGGTTGAACGATTTACCTTGTTCGGTCTCCATGTCACCATCCCGAGGGTCATCCTCGAGGACTGATGCAAGGATGAGATGCAACAAAACTTGGAGGAATGTTTCCACGCGTGTCGGCGGGATGGAAGGTGTGCTTTGTTGGGACACAAGCACATATTCTAGGCATTGGTGCACAATCTGCGCAAACAACATAGTTCCGGTGAATCGAGGAAGATCGGAGAAAACACCAGAGCTGATGGGTCGAAGCTTCGGCTCAAACACAATGTCGGACGCATTCTTGCCAGTCTTCTTAGCCATCCACTCCTTATAGATATTTTCCGCTTCGTCACGCTGGTTCTTCGAGAAGTGGGTACTATAGGGGTCTACTAGATCCAAATACTCCTTTTTCAGTTCGAACTTGCCAGAGTCATTAACGCCCTCGGGGAAGTGGAAATGGGTGACTTCTTCTAGCACACCCTGGAACATATCAGAGTCTTGTAACTTATCGTTCAGACGAGTGGAGAGATCGGAGAACGACAGAGGCTTGAAGCACAAGACGTGGGCAATGTCGCGACTGATTGTTTCCTTTGTCATGTGAACGCTGTCATCAATTGCAGAGACAGAAGTTCGATCGGTCAAGAGGATAACCAGGAGATGAACAAACTCCTCGGCAACGTCAATGATCTGGGAATCCTCGTAACCAGGTCGAGGAACGTAATTGCGGAACATCCAATCAACAATTCCGAATCGATGTGCGATGGAGGCAAGGACTCTGCTGGGGTCACAGGTGACCAGCGCGGTTTGGAGAAGGAATATGTCCCGATAATAGGCGAAGTTGCGAGATGAAACACCGCGATACTGGGACATCTGGTGTCGAAGGCTGAGACCGTTGCGAACCCACATACCGGCCTTCATTTGTGCAAGCCAAGCACACACTCTGAGCGGGTAGTCAATCATGATCAAAAGAAGATCCTCCGGTCCAAGAGCGAGAAGGCTATCATCGATGGGCTGGTTGTTGGCAACCTTTGCTGCATGAAGATGTTCCCTGGCGGTCTCTGCAGCTTCGAAGAGAGTGCGACGCATCACGTCGCTGCTAATTCCCCGACCGCACTCAATCAGCCACGACAGGGTGTAGTGAATTGCGTGGTGGAAACTAATAGATCCCTTCTCGACGACAAATTCGACGACTCGGTGGCAGGGAATTTGGCCGGAGGCGCCGACTTCGAAGTCAAATGGCTGCAACGTTTTGAATCGGACCTCTTCTTTGATTTCTGCTTGGTCAAAGCGCTTGCGCTCAACACCAGCTGAGTGTAGGACTGCTGTGACGGTGGTCGTCTTAATTGCACGTAGCAAATTCTCTCCATTGTCGATCTCAGGGCTTCGGAAAGCTTCGCAGAACTGTTGACAGAGGCGGTTGATTTCGCGCATGAGAATGGAGGCGCTGATCCAGGCGTCGGTTTCATACTCCACATGTTCGCCCACCGCACGGACATTGGGACAGATACCCTGTGAAAGTTTGACGAGATCGAGGAATTGGGGTAGGTATTGCTCCTCGGTGCGAACGCGATGCTGTACATATTCGGACTGGAGGAGGTAGCGGAGATCGAGGAAGAAATGGTAGAGACGTCTGTTTGTGACCGAGCCGGCATCAAACGCCAAAGTTGCATTAGGGTTGACAGCATGAGGTTCTTCAACCTGTCTGGTTGTCAAGAAAGTGTACAGAATAGACATGACTTTGGTGAGGAAGTTCCCGCGGAGGACGATTTCCTCCGTGATAGACGGGGTGGTCAAAAGTTGTAGCGAAAGGTTCACAATGGAGTGGTCCGGCTCTCTGTCTGCAATAAGATAAAGCTGAGCCAGGGCTGTATAGAGTGCAGACAGGCGAAGACCCATAATGCGCTTGAACTGTGGCACATTGACAACTGTGCTAATGTAGAGGTCGCGAAGATCAGTCCTAGTTTTCTTCCACAACCTCAGATCATAAAGCACGAGCCAATCCAGACGGGTGCGTTGCCACAAATCTTCGTAAGCAGCAACCTTCTCCCCAGGAGCATGTGTTGGAGGCTGGACTTGCCAGTGGCTTTCTGTCCCTCCAGGTTTAGGCCTAACCACGTGTGAAGGTGTTCGCGGGATAGGGACATAGCTGTTGGGGTTGGGCGGTTGATTCCCCGTATCGACTACCGGTGCCTCTTCAGGGGGGGGTTTTGCTGCTCCGATGTCTCTTCCGGCTCCTGGGTTGCCGCGCGAAGAGGTGCTCGTCCACCACGGGCTAGGTCGGCCAGAATTCGCTCTGCGAGAGCCAGCTCTTCTTCGTCAATGACAGTTCCGTCCATATCCATATCTCCATCATCATCTCCAGGATCCTGAAGGTGGGCGAGGGTAAGCTCCATATCATCGTCCTCGTCATCTGCATCGTCATGGGCTTCCACATAGTCCTCGTCATCTTCGTCCGGGCCATTCTCGTCATCTTCATCTTCATCGATACCTTCATCCACAGCTTCATTAACCTGCACCACAATTTGCCCGTGGTTTGGCAATGAAAGTAGGACAGGGCGGCGTCGAGCATGCTCCGCAATCTCATGGTCATCGATACCTTTCATTCCAATATCTTCATTATAACCACCACTTCCCTTCCGCCATGGACTGAGGAGCTCTTCGCAAATAGCCTGTCGGAAGATTTCGTTGTCCTCCAGAATGCTGCAGCCAGCAATATCGGCGAGCCATTCAACTATAGTTCCACACATTTGTTCACGGAACGTGTCTCGAGAAGAGCGCACCGTAACCGTAACCTTGATCTGTTCTATAACGCGCGACACTCCGAGTAGCTTCTGCAGATCCTTCGAGTACTTGATGACACTACGGCCAATGTCATTCGTCTCATGGGCGCGGGCGATACCGAAGCTCTCGCGTTCACGGCATGCCCGCGTGACCTGGTTGGAGACGTCACGAATGGTATGTTTTTCATCGTTCCATAGTAATAGAGCAAACTCAGGCTCTTCCTCTTCTAGGTCACCAGCACCATACCAGTTCGGACGCAACCGCGACGCTTCTTCATCTGCCTTGATTCCTTCCACGGTTTTCGGCAGACGCAATTGCTCCGGGGAGCATGAAATGACATCACAGAAGTAATCCAACACGCGGGATATAGTCAACCGAATCGAGGACAAGAGTTCGGATGGAAGCTCGATTTTTCTGCGCTCCTTCTCCTCGTCGTCGCCATTGTCCGTATGAATCGCGCAACAGAGCGGTAATCGCCAAGCCTCGTCGTCACCGCAATCACAGCAACCGCAGTTCCCCGAAGATAGGGAAATTTGATATTGATGACCTGTGTGGTCGGACGAATCGAAGCATCGGCTACATAGTACACAGGTATCGTCCGAGGCGCAGGTCAAGCAACGGTAGGTAGCCTCGCCGGCACGGAAAATATGACCACATCGCTTGCCCCGCGCGGCCTCGCTATACTCTGCTCCTTCGCGAGCACCCTGAGATTCGGCCAGTTTCCAGGAACCTGTTGGGGCGCCATCGGGAAATAGGTGGTGTATGAGTTCTTCATTGTGTCCCACGAGCGACCGAAAGAGAAGCTCTAGCAAATCCCTCTCGGCCTGCGGGCCATATCGGTAGCCGTGCTGCTGTGGCAGTCGTAACAGACCATCGCCGAGGATCCTCTCACACTCTGCGAGCATGTGCATGGCTTACAGGGTTGAGCAGAAATCGAGAGGACCTGCCGCTCGTCTGTCACAGGTGTGAAGGTCGAGAGCCGTTGGCCCGTGAGGCGGAAGGTAGTCTGAATCGGGAGTACCGAGCGTATCGAAATCGTCCAGGATACTCGAACCAGTTGAAAAGAAAATCTCCGCTATAACTAGACAAGTCCTAAGAATGAGCGCAGTGTCAGGAGAGGTCAAATGGTTGTGTCTTCAGTCTGCGAGACTGGACGATCGTAGTGGGGGGAAGGAGGAATTACAGGCGAGATGTGGGCCGATGAGGTCGCAAAGCACGATCAACCTTTCCACTAAGCAATCACCTCGTCCGAATAATAGAAACGACAAGATGTAGGTAGAGAGCGAGTTGGGAGGGATGAGAAAAAAGTGGTAGTCTAAGGGTAGAGAAGAGAAGGAGGGATATGAACGATGGAGAAGCACTGGCATTTTTACCTATGACATCGGCGGAGCGGTCTCGCTGCTGCCCCAACGCCACAGCGCGGTCACCGCGGCCGCTACGCTACGGGCAATACATGCAATGCAGCCACCACTTTTCACTTTCGAAACTGGGCAAAAAAAGGGCACGGCACTCCAGAAAAAATAGTCAAGTCAAATACAGATTTCTGTCTATCGCGTACAAGCCCGCAGCTGGAATAAGTATAAGATCACAAGGCTGCGGCAATTGAATTCCTCATTCGCTTTTCCATCACTTCCTTCCCCCCCTGACAGTCTACCTATATAGACCGCAGGAATTAACCTCATTTGATCATGGGCGGATTTAATCATCATCCTCCTCCTCGGCCTGGACCAGGTAACGGGGCTTGATGTCCTTCCATTGGCGCTGAACATGGGGTTAGCAAGATATTCGGATAGAAATCGGGCGATCCGGGAGATCGGGTCGACCGAGGTATTCGAGAAAGAAGAGCGAAAACACATACACCGGCGTTCCAGGAATCCCAAACCTTGTTGGAGAAGGTGTCGAAGGAGCTGTTGTGCAGAAGTTTGGTCAGAAGTTGTTGTATAATATGGAAGGGGGGTGGGTAGGTAGGATGTAACGCACAGCTCGAAGGCGAAGGCACCGGCGAAGATGGTGGTCAGGAAGACCGCATTCTTACGAATGATGGACCTAGAAGACGGTTAGAGAGAGGAAAGGCGAGGGCGATTGCGACTGCGACTGCGACCACGATCATGGGGTTGGGGGTTGGGGGTGGGAGACATGCTGGTAGATAACGTTGGAGATCTGTGATCGCGCGACAACCAGTTAGCTCGGAAACTTCAAGCTGCAGGGAAAGCATTGTAGTCAAAGGCTTGAGAAAGACTTACGCCGGCCATTGTGAAGGAGTTGTGCTGACAATGAGGTGGGGAGTCGAACGGAGGGATTGAAGAGGTTGAAGTTGGCTGAATTCGCTGAGGACGAAAAGCAGCGGGAATTCCCGGCTCGCTGATTGGCCATTGACCGCGTCCCCTCCGGCCATCCGTTCACTCGAAGCCGCAGTTGGGCTTGCTTTGTTTTTGGGTTTTTTGATATTCTCGAATTCCTTTCCAGGACTCTCGACGATTGCTCTGTCGGGGGTAAATTACAGTCCTCTACTTAGGTTGGTGCATTCGATCATTTACAACCTTTTTTTCGTCTTTGTTTCTCCGATTCCCTCCTCCTCCTCTCATCGCCCTCGACCATGTCTACCAACTCCGGTATCACCACCGACGCCACGACTGGCGAACGCTACATTCCTTCCTCACTTCGAGCAGACGGCTCGAAACGCCGTGAGATCAAGGTAAAGCCGGGATATAAGCCCCCAGAGGATGTGGAGCTCTACAAAAACCGTGCTGCCGCCGCATGGAAAACTCGTGGAAGAGGTGGGGTGCCTGGGGCCGAAAGTGTGAGCAGCGAGGACGACAAGACCGCTCAAACCGCGGCTAGCAATAAGAACGCCAAGCGCAGGGAAGCCAAGCGTAAAACCAAAGAGAACGAGGAGTCGAACAGTCCCGCCGAGAAAAAGGGCGCCGAGTCGGAGAACTGGCGTGTCCCCGCCCCAAAGAAGGAAGAACAGCCTGCTCAGGACCCCGTCGACATTGAGGCCGATAAGGAAAAGAAAGCTCGCAACTTGAAGAAGAAGCTCCGTCAAGCCCGTGACCTGAAGGAGAAGAAGAGCCAAGGTGAAGCTTTGCTCCCCGAGCAGCTGGAGAAGGTCATCAAGATCCAGGAGCTTGTGCGACAGCTCGACGTCCTGGGATTCGATTCCAATGGCGACAAGAAAGACGATTCCGGCAAGGAGAATGCTTGATCAAACACTCCTCTGTGTGGTGCCTTCCAGCACCCCTACTTTTACCCATAATGGGACGCCATCAGTGTCACACGCAACCTAGGCCCTGGCAGATATGCAGCGTGCTATTACCACCAACTGAAATTCATGTCTAAATCACCCTGCAGACCTGCAGGTGCATTGGGCATATATATTACAGTCAGCACTCAAAACCGGCCAGCCTCAACCGACACCTCCAGTTTCTCACATACTGTCTGGCATATTCAACGGCGTGGCTGGGTAAGATGCGACACTCCGACCGCTCGAAATCAAAATCACTCTGAGATTGAGCTTTGTATTCATCCGATTCTTTCTCTCGGGTCGGTTTGAAAATTAGAGAGGCATTGTCGGAAATGAATCGCCCATGTATGTTCAACCTTGCCAGCCTGGAGCAACAGAACAGCAATAGTCTACCAAGAATTCAAGTTTACATTTGTCTACGAAGAATATACTTCAGTATACTGTTCTGGCTTTCGCCCTATGCATCCCTATTGTCACTACTTGCCTGGCTATATCGTACATAGTATATCTATATCTTATATTGATAGCTGTGAACTACCATCGGATTGAGGTTTCAAGTCCCCAAGGGCTTCAGTCCCAATCCACAGGACTTGAATTATCGAGGCTCCACATCCACGATCCGGACTGGCGCTGTAGGTATACCACCTTGCATGTCCCAGTTCTCGTAGTCAAATGACAAATGATGATCATGGACGACGAAGGAATCTCCACGTCTCAGCTCGGCCCTAGGTGGAAGTTTGAACCCGACACCATACGTTGCAGCCATAATGCCCTGTTTGATACAGTCCCCGACACCGACTCCGTTGTACCAGTTTCCAGCGAGGACAAGTCTCTGGTCAAAGTCACGCTTTACCGTCTTAGACAGCTCATACATGCGGTCCAGGTGACCCACGGTATATTGAGGGATGGCATCCTGTTGCAGTCGGCTTCGCGCAATAGCAGGCTTCTCCGTGACACCAAGATGCCGCTCAAGCATTTTGCATGCCATGCTGACGGCAGTTTCATGGTCTGGATAGTCGCCGGGTCTAAAATGGTCCCAGTAGTGACCACCCATCATCACGGTCAGTTTGGTACCTTTGGCAGTGTCCTGTGAGACGGGCTGCCTTCTAATCGTCCATGAGCCGTCGCCGGCTTCTTCGCATTCCCCTAATTCCTCGCCGGAACTGGAGTCAGTAGCGAATATAACACCCAGTCCACACTCCGGGTTCTCGCTAGCCGGCGTGGAGCGCGGGATGAGGTATCCGAAACCACTGATGGAAAGAAGGTTGGGGTTGGAATAATAAAGATTGACAACCATCACAGTGGTAGCATAATCGAATGACTTGAGTTTCTGGATCGTATCACTTGGCAGCTTCGGGCTAGAACGTCCCGTAATCTTAGGGTGGTTCGTCGATTTAGGGGGTGCGGCGAGGATTTTGGTCAGTGCAGGGGCGGGGATGGCAGCGATGACATGGTCGTAGACTTCCAGGCTTTCCGAGGTAGAGATCTAAGATGTATGTGAGCCCGGGCGAGATTCCTCGGCGATTTTGAATAAGCAGAATCAACTTACCTCCATAGGACTGTAGCTTCCCGGCTGGTGTGAGATCGTTTTTATATCCGCCTGGGTCTTGACATTGACCTTGTCCGATTTTCTTAAGGCGGAAACAAGCCCATCGATGAGCTGCTGTGTCCCACCTTTGAAAGTAAAAGTACTAGCGTAGCTACCCATTCCGCAGAGCCCTGGGAGCCTTCGGACAATCGTAGTTCCCGAATTGCTCAACCTTGTCTCCTCGGCAATCAGAGAATCATCCATCGGCAAGGATTTTGTGCGATTCCATGCCCTCATGATCATACTATACATAATGCCGCTGCCTTCGAGGTTGCGCATAGGACCTAGTAGAGTTTGGGCGCTCAGTTTATCAATATCTCCTGCATAAATACCATGCATCACTGCGGAGACAATGTTGTCTGCAACCTGGGAGTTAAAACGACGTGATATAAAATGTGAGACGGATTCATCTTTCTGCCATTGGTCGGGCATGCGAGCAGGCTTGATGTGTTCAAATAAAACGGCCGGAATTATTGGTCTGAGTAAAGGCTCCTGTATGAATGATCGAAAAGCATTTGCCAAATTCTGCATGTAGCTCAAACCGGGGATGGGCCCAGGCAAACGAACGAGATGATCGGGATAGTAGATATACCGATTCATTGCCGCCGATGCCGATTTGGGTGTGAAGATTACTTGATCGCCCAGTCCAATTGAGTCAGCCTGTATAGCAAAAATGTCAGCCATCGGCTTTGTATTTCCAGGGTATGCGTGTGCGTGGTGTATCTTACCATATCCATCATGCACTCTCCTGTTGTCGACGTCCATTTCAATGTGCGTGGGCCATACTCGAACACCACTTTGCCGTCACCGACAGGAATTTCCTCCGATTCCATCCATCCGCCAAATTTGTGTGATTTTTCGTAGAGTGTGATGCCGGTGCATTTGGGGTCTCGCATAAGTTTCCACGCGGCTGTCAGACCGGTGATGCCACCTCCGACGACGGCAACATTGTACGCGCGTCGCTGACAGGTGATTGCGGAGATAAGAGGTCGCGTTCTAGCTCGTATTCCATTCGAGATGTAGGGTAGGGGCATTTCGGCGAAAAAAAGACACCCAAAAGGTCCAAGGACGAGCGGAATTCTGGGGTAGTCGGGGCGGCAGCTTCCGTGAATCGTGATCCCAAAGGTAACGTGACCGCCTAACTATAAGAGAACTTGGATATGGATAGGGGGGGTCACAGCAACCATCAATTTAACTATGTATATATCTGTGACAGTAATTACTATGATTGGATATAATAGTCAAGAAAAGGTAAGCCCATTGCTAGATCTAGATAGGATTGATGCTAATGTTGACAGTATTATGGTTATCGAAAGCTGTGTGCGGTAGCTTCTACCCTGTAGAAAGCAGCCGAAGCTACCGAGTAGTGGGACCAGCTCTCCGTTTAGTACTAGTTCGGGGCCCCTGATGTATATGGTGAACCGTGGTGAGTTTCGTACTCGTAGTAGTTATCACCTGTCGAAGTCTATGTAGTGGAAGATGGAGATCGCCGTGTGGTGTGGGGCTGACAGTTAGGGTGGTTTGGGTTGGCAATATTTGGTGCCGACTTGCCTTCCGCGCACCGACATATCAAGTCGATTTGAACTTATTCTCGAATACTGGATCAGTGCTTAGAGGCTTTGCTCTCGATCAGATATGGGTGGTGTTCCCTTCCAGTCCAAAGGGTGCCAAACGTGTAAAAGCCGCAAAATCAAGGTGGGCAGATCACATCGCATCCGCCCTCGTGAATTTCAAGCCGACGGTGCATTGCTAATGTAGGGTACAGTGCGATCTCCAGCAACCCGAATGTGCACGGTGCATCAAGCGTGGTCTCTCCTGTCCAGGGTATGACAAGGATCGAACTTTTGTTCATTATAAATCCGCAAAAAGACTAGTAGCTGCATCTCAAATCGGGGTGACCGCAGCAGGACCCCAGTCGTCTCCCCTGGAGATTGCCCAAAATGTGCCTCTACCCGCGCCTGTTAATTCCCGCCCCGAGAATCGTTCCCAGATATTTTCTTCTTTTCTAAGCGCCTACTTCCCCCTTGATACAGTGGGACTCGTGGGCGCTGATGTATGGTACCATTTGATCACCGGCTTTGCTACTCTCCCCAGCAGGACCGTCACATCAGCATCATTATTGGACAAATCAATGTGTGCAATGACTTGTGTTGCTTTAGGTCAGATAAAGCAGGATCAACAGCTCGTATATTATGGTACCTCCCTCTATAACGCTGCAATAAAACACATGTCGAACATGATTCACCGAAATACCCCCAACGAAGAACTCCTTTATGCAACAGTGATTTTCCAGAGACTCGAGGTGAGCTTTCCCAGGTCGGTACGTATCAACATCTAATCTTACAGCCTTTCTTCTGTATGCAGCCTTTATTTTCTCCCCTTGGTGTTGAGGCCTGGATTGCCCATTCCGAGGGAACGAATGCCTTTTTGAGAAAATGCCATCGTGATGCTCCAAACAATCCCCTAGTCGAATCAATATATCAGCATCAAAAAATATTGGGAGTGGTATGTCGAGTATCCCGGTTTGAGTCTTCATACTCTTCTAATTTAAGTCATCATGATGCAGACGGACCCATTGAAGTCCTCAGAGACCGCTGGCAAACCCATTGCCGGGCCCTTCGAGATATACGCAGCATTCAAGCCCATCCTCGCCGGATTTAAGCAGCTGAACACTCTCAGTAGTCCTGAGTATTGCGAGAAGCTCCTCAGGGATTGCATTTCCCACAAAGATAAAATATCCGCCTGGTTCGCCAGCATAAAGCCATCACTTGGCACGGAGCCCACTTCTTACCCAAACTTCAAATCAACCTGTGCACATTTGCCCGCAACAGATGAAGTTTTCGGTGCCGCATATCAGTTTCCTGATCTCAAAAGCGCTAGGCTTCATGTTCTCTACTGGACGGCATTATGTCTCGTGTATCCAATGATCTACCAGGCCAAGATACACACCATGGCGCACGATGGACGCGCTAGAACTATGGATCCAAACACTGACCAGGACTACATGCTCTCCTGGTACTATGCAGACGAAGCTTGTCGAGGTATCCCGTATTGTCTGACGAATACTGAGCAAATATGGGGCGCCCAGGGCGTGATGTTCTCCATAGCTCAGGCCTCAATGATATACAGCAATATCAGATGGCGAGAGAAATTCATGTGGTGCCAGAATGCATTTACGGCTATAGAGTATCTCGGATTTGGACTTGCAGTTTGCCTTAGAGAGGCTGCCTTGAAACATTGGTTTGTCTCGGAGGATACACATGTGATGCCCACTACAGTTCTTCCATTGAGAGATGGGTCGCTGAAGACACCAGTGCCGTCAACGGGTGAAGGACCGAGGACAATTCTGGAGATAATTGAGCTATCGACTGATCCTTAGCTTTCTCATTCATGACCTACTACTATAGACATGCTTTCGGGGTCACAAGACGTTCTATACTATGGTTGTCGCTACATAAGTATCATACATATTTGAACTACTCAAAGTACTCCAGGGCTGTGTTTTAAATCGCCCAATAAAGGAGTGAGGATTCGTAAAGACACTTACAAGTACTTAGGGGGGGCTGAGGACCTTGGTTATATTGAGCACCTTGGAAGTCATCGTACGCCAGTGAAAGATTCAGTCGAGTCTATAAGAACAAGCGGGGCTTGTGGATAATTCGTATTTTCCAAGCAGATCAAGGGGATATCTATGTACAGGTAAAGTCGGGGCAAGCAAATGCATCATCAAGGTATGAACGCCCTCTCCATCCATCCATTCATCAATTTCAGATTGTACACAAAATAATATTTTCCGCGCAGGCATCGTGGCCAAAGGATATCAATTGAGGCGTAGTCACGCGGTCAGCTCCGGGTTCTGGGATTCATCGCCGTCGGGCTTAATGAGTTCCTCTGGGCCATCTTCGTTGGCGACAAATTTGCGATCGCTAACGTGGTTCCCGGAGTTCGGCGTCCAAACCTTGTCACCAAGGTTACCGCGCTGGCCTTCGGCGTGCTTATACGGACACGTGCGGTTCATACACGGGTTAAACTTGCAGGCCGTGTCCAGGTGGGTGAACTTGCAGCCTTCGGTCTTGCAGTCGGCACCGTTTTTGCAGAGCGGCATGCTGGGGTGCTTGAAGTGGCAGTTCGGGTTTGTGCAGTGGGGGAAGAATCTGCACATCTCTTCAGCCTGGTGGACAGATCGAACGGCTGGTGAAGGATGACGGCCGGTGCATTTTCGGTTCTTGCAGGCACCTCCAAAGGAACAGACGTCAGAGACATCGACGGATGTACCCTCGGGAGCGGCGGGTGATTGGTGGGCAAACTGGCAGTCGGATCGTGTGCATCGGAGGTTAAAGCGGCAAACGCCCTCGGCCTCGCCTTGCGCGCTTGGCGCGCCATCCATCGCTGTATCCATATCGGCATCGGTTGCCTCTCCACCCTTGTTGTGCTGGTTCTGTCCGCGCTTGTTAAAATTGCCACCTCCACGTTGACCACGCTGACCACGCTGGACACGGTCAAACAACGAGCGACTTTGCTGGCCGTTCTGGAAAGCCGGGTTGACGGCGGGGGGAACAAAGCCGGGCATGAGCTGGGACATCATTTGGGCTTGTTGTTCCAGCATCTGCATGAGCTGCATCTGGTTCTCAGGGCTCATCATGTTGCCTTGCATTCCCATATTACCGCCCATTTGGCGACCACCACGACCCATATTATTTCTAGCGCCCTTCATTTGGCCTCGGCCGTGACCACCGATGCGACCATTCCCTTGGTTTCCATGAACGCGGTGAAGCGCGGAGTCGTTTCGATCCAAATTGCGATTAATTTGGTTGAGCATCCGCCCTCTACCACCTCGTCCACCGCGCATCGCTTTCGGTCCGGTTGGTCTGTTAAAAGTAGTCAGCATTGTGGTCATAAGGCAAAAAGAAACGATGAGTCTGAGAATTGGTACTTACACTGAGTCACCGACATCACCCATCTCGGCATCTCCATTCATCTGGAATCCAGGCGCCTCGGGGTTCAGACCCGTGGGAGCACTTTGTTGGCCCCCAGCGATCCCATTCGATCCCACATCCGGTCCTCCATTAATCTGCTGGTTCAGCATTTGAACCTGGCCAAAAAGCCAATTTGAAAACTCGAGCGCTTGTGTATCGCCTTCGTCCAGGCCCAAGAAGTCGTTTGAAAGCTCATTTGCGAGTTGCTCTTGTGACTTGCCGTTAATGAGCATGAGTACGATATATTCAATCAAAGCAGACTCTTGGCCGTCATCTGTACTCCAACCCATCTCGACCAGTTTAGGCTGGATGACGCTGGCAACAGCCGCCGCGAGGGGCGAGTCTTGAGTGATGGTCGGGAGGACATCCATGTTGGGCGAAAAGAAAATGCGAAGATGTTTAGGTAGGAATCGGTCGGAGAAAGAAGTTATCAACGGCGGTTGATACTTTGCGCCACCGAGCTAGAACGGTTCTTCGACCGGGCTGGCGTGAGGAATGGCCGGAGGATTGTGAAAAGGGAGGATTTGTGCGCTTTAATATATTGAAGAGAATTGAATTCCGCGTGGCGGTCTGGTCGAAAGACGATTCAGATCTTCGTTCAGAGGTTGACGCGACAATGAAAGCTTGGATGTTGGAAGAGGACGAATTTGGAAATGCGCCAGGTTGTGTCACGTGGGCGGTACAAACTTGAAGGTACAAAGGGTGCAAAGGGTGCAAAGGGTGCAAACAATAACATCGCCCAAAGCGGATCTTGAAGCGGCTCCTTTGGCTTTGTTCCGGCATTGTATGCCTTGAAACACTTCAACTCCATTGTTTGGGTAGTTTTCTGGGTTAAATAAGGGTCGGAGGTCCCAAATATATATAAAATATAAAATATACGGTATTTTTGCCGGTTTCATCTCTTAATCTTGATTGATTCAACCAACTTGAATGCATCCCGAGGTCGCTGAAACTTTGAAAGACCATTTTGTATAATATTTTCAGTCAGTCTGGTATACTAGTACTAGTACTAGTAGCACCATGATGGATGCCATTCACCGGACAAACTAGTACCTACCAATGTCACGGACTCACGGTACAGCCCGGGGTCGGGAGAACGACCCGCCCTTCGAGGCCACTAGTATGTTTTAGTATTCAATTTAGTGAGCTCTTGGTTAATCTTTGACCGTATGGCAAAATCCCGGGGGGACTGGTATAGGACTTGTACTTGGTCAAATATATGGCTCTCAATATCATGAAAGATAATATTGAGATACTTCAACTTGAAGCAGATTTTATTGCATACCTAGAGTAGTATAGTACTACTCGTAGTAGTTGGTCCCTTTTTTCCCGCCCGGGGTCTCCTGACCTCGAGACTTAATTTATTAGTTACTAGTAGTACTAGGGTGTGCTCGTGGTCATGTCTGACATGGATGATTTTCAGAAACATCCCCACAGTAGCCGCAAGCCTCTCAAGCGACCGCGGGATCACGCTGGAGCCGCCCCGATGGTAATGTATAATGTAGCTTATGCACACTAAATAGGCTGCATGCTGGGTGATCAATACTCCCAGGCACCTGCACAAACTAGTCATGTATTGCTTGGCCAAAAGCAATGATGTAGATCTCCACACGGGAATCACCCCATGTGAAACCGGCTAGCCGAGGTCGTTCTCCACACATACTCTACAGTATTCCACAAATTTCACACGGACACGGACACGGACACGGATATGAACAGCATTTCCCCGGATTGTTGGACCACTGACGAGACCGTTGAAGAGAGGAGATAATCCGGGGGAGATCCACAGTAAGACGGCAATTGAGATACTAGGGACCAGTAATAGATCGAGGGGGCCTGGCTCTGACACATGATACCTCAAATGGAGGGATGTTGCACTGTGGTAGATGAAGTCATCCGGCGGGGCTCGCAAGCACCTCGCAAGGATACCTCGAAGAAGCCACTGGACTTTAACTTTGTGGGGAGGTATGAGATATCAGACTGCCGCCATAGGGCGAGTCCACATCCGGTGGAGCCCCCGCGTTGCTTTTCTCCGGGGGGAACGGGGTCCACGAATCCACCCAACCTTACTTCGACTCGCTTGCTTTAAATACCTTAGACTACCCCTCCCTCGCTCGCCTTACCGTAATGACTTGAAGACGTTGCGAAAACCAATCGTTGTATGTGCCCTTTGAGTCCTACAGAAGCCTTTTAAGCAGACTGCCGGTCCCTTTCCATGACGCCAAGGTGACAAGGGCACCTAGAACTCACAATCACCATGATTGAGGACCTCTTGATGGGCAAGATGCCCGGACAGGCGTTTCTCTGGACCGTATCACTCTTCGTTGCTATCCTCATTGTCCGCAAACTCCAGGTATCCGCTCAGATCTCTCGTCTTGGGGCTCGAGCTCCCAAGATCTCGTTTCATCTGCCATATGGTACGTCATCTGTCCAACTTATTAGCCACATTTGATCAGAATCGCTCACCACCCCCACTAGCTCTCGACTTCATTTACAAGGGCCAACAAGCCAACCTGGTCCATAAGGATATCGAGTTCTGGGATGCTTCAATAACCGCCGCAGGGGGGATGCGAAACTGCAAGACCGCCGAGCTTGATGCGGGCGTCTCCACTCGTGCAGTCATGACCAAAGACCCAGAGAATATCAAAGCTCTTCTGACCGGCCAATTCGCCGATTATGGCAAAGGCGAACCTTTCCACCGCGACTGGAAGGAATTTCTCGGCGATAGTATCTTCGCCACTGATGGAGAACTCTGGTCCAACTCCCGCAAGCTCATCCGCCCCATGTTTTCCCGCGATCGCATCGTTGACACCGATGTCTTTGAGAAGCATGTGCAGAAACTCATCCCGCTCCTGGGTGGTAGCACTTCGCCCAAGGGAGGCCGAGTGGTCGATGTCGGATCACTCTTCTTCCGTTATACCCTCGACGCTGCAACAGACTACCTGCTCGGCCAAGGCACAGACAGCCTGGAGAATCCTGCTACGCGGTTTGCAGAAGCATTCAGATATGTGCAACAGCGCCAGGCCAAGCTTTTCCGATTCGGGTAAGTGATTTCGATCTTGTGCGACGTTAAAAAAAATCCCCAGTCATCGAAAAGTTACACCAAAAAAAGGAAGATGACTCAATTTACTAACCTCAATTTTCACACAAACAGAGTCTTCAGCTTCTTCATGTCTCGCACAGAATTCCGCCGTAACTTGAAAATCATGGAGGAGTTCATCCAACCATACATCGAAACTGTCCTCGCTCTCTCCTCTGATGAACTCGAACAAAAGCTCTCCAAGCGCGAAACTTTCCTTGACGCCCTAGCTCGATTCACTCGCGACAAGCAAGTGCTGCGCGACCAACTCGTTGCCGTCCTCCTTGCCGGCCGCGACACAACGGCCGGAACCCTCTCTTTTTGCTTCTCTGAACTCTCCCGCAACCCAGAAGTCGTCGCGAAGCTGCGTGAAGAAATCAGCTCTCACCTGGGCGTTGGTGAGGCGGGTCAGAAACCCACCTATCAAGATTTAAAGGAAATGAAATATCTGAACGCAGTCATCAATGAGACTATGCGCGTTTATCCCGTCGTTCCGTTCAATGTGCGCTACTCATTGCGCGACACAACGCTTCCTCGCGGCGGTGGTCCAGATGGTCAATATCCTGTCGGTGTTCGCGCTAACACACGCGTGATATACTCGACCATGTTAATGCAGCGCGATCCAGATCTCTATGACAGTCCGGACTCGAAAAATTACTTCGATCCGGGCAAGTGGATTCCTGAACGGTGGGTTTCGGGCTGGTCCCCGCGTCCGTGGCAGTTTGTTCCTTTTAATGGCGGTCCGCGCATCTGCATCGGGCAGCAGTTTGCTACTATCGAGATGGGGTATACTATTGTTCGAATCTTGCAGGCTTATGAGCGTATTGTTGCGCTGCCGGTTAGTGGAAAGGATAAGGTTGAGGATCCCATTCTGCGGTTCGAGATTACGCTCAGTCCCGGCTCGGAGTTGAATTGTGTGTTTGTGAAGGAAGGGGAGGAATTTGCGCGCAGCTCCTCGCAGGCATAGGTTCACCTTTCATGTCGAGTCTGATTGTCGCAGCTTGATAAATTGTTAATGGCTTGGCTTAGCTTGAGTGACTTTATTTGGGGTATTTTTGCCGCAATACCGTCGAAATTTTATGGAAAGGCTATGATGTATATGATCACCACTCTGTGAATCTTGAAAGATAATGTTGATTTAATTGATCACGCCAATTTGACACAAGAGGAAAGGAGATATTTGAAGCTCTAACTCACACCTATCTAAGCCTGCTAGCATTCCCGCAATACGTAAGCTAAATGCGAAATATCATCACGAAATCCTGCATGAGGATGAGGACCTCACTAGAAGTAACCAAGCTTGAGTTTCCGGAGTCTCTTTAACTTTTGCAAGATCTCCACTTTTCTCAACTCTAGAAATAGATCTTCCTCATCCGCATCATCGAGGTCAGTCGATACACCGATGATCGATGCAATTGAAGGCGCTAATTCAAGGTTCCCCTTGGTTTTCTGTGCCTTGACCTTTATTGTGGTGTTGGCGCAGGCCTCAGAAACAATATCTGAGATCAACAGAGATGTATTTTGCGTAGAAGGTGGCTTTGGCGATGAGAAATTGCAATCCGCTAGTGGAATTGGTGTTCCGTTGAACTTTGGCTCTGACGAGTTGCTATTCGATGTTTCTGCTGTCTTCTCCGTCTCAATCCAGCCACGGCTCATTTGGACAGCCTTCTCCCATTCTGCAAACTTAACTGTGCCCTCCTCACGCGTGATCTGCGGTTCGAACACCGCGCCGCCTCCTCGGTTGATATCTCGTAGCTCGGCGAAATTACGCCATACGCCAATAGCGAGACCTGCTGCAATCGCGGCGCCTAGAGCGGTGGTTTCGCGCATTTTTGGACGGTACACAGGGATAGAGATTAGATCTGCTTGAGTCTTTGATTCAGGAGTTAGTCTCAATATGACTCTGTTTTAGGCAGTGCACTGCAAACCTGCATAGTCAAATCGGAGTTGCTCATTCCTCCATCCACGGCGAGCTCCGAGAGTGCCTTTCCACTGTCCTTTTCCATGGCGTCAAGGATAGCCTTTGTTTGGAAGCAAGTGGCTTCAAGTGTTGCGCGGGCAATGTGGCCTTTTTGTGTGTACTGGGTGATACCGACTGAACAAGAGTACATGTTAGACACCGGCAATACAAGGAAGTGAGGGTTGGGAGTCAAGATTTACAGATTGTTCCCTTCGCATCGTCAATCCAATATGGGGCGAAAAGTCCACTGAAAGCTGTGACAAAAACACAGCCACCATTATTTTCAACCGATAGTGCAAGGTCATTGACCTCCCTGGAATCCTGGAAGAAAGTCAAATTGTTTTGCAAGAACTTCACCCCAGACCCGGCGACTGCAATGCTTCCTTCTAACGCATAAACCGCTTTCCCTCCAAAGTTGTACGCTACAGTTGCCAGCAATCCATGTGTCGAGATGACGGGTTTATCGCCGACGTTGTAAAGCAGGAAACAACCAGTACCATAGGTGTTCTTCGCCATACCGGGAGAGAACCCTTTCTGCCCAACCAACGCAGATGACTGATCACCGAGACATCCCATGATAGCAACGCCCTCCAAAGCACCGGACGCCAACCAGCCGTAGGCAGACGAGTCAGATGAAGGGACAATGGTAGGAAGATGAATTTTGCCCTTAATGCCGAAGAAATCGAGCAGGAAATCATCATACCGCAGAGTGTGAAGATTCATGAACATGGTACGGGAAGCGTTTGTCGAATCCGAGACAAAATAGTTGGCACTGACACCGTTCAAACGGTAGACAAGCCAAGAGTCGACGGTACCAAACGCAAGGGTGCCTCGATCGAAGGCTTCTTTCACCTTGGGAACGTGCGCCAGCATCCATAGCAGCTTCGTGGCCGAAGAGTAGGTGGAGAGCGGTAGACCGCAGATGGCTTGTAATTCGGACGAGTTGGATCTCTGTTTCAGCTCGTTCACGATTGCCTGAGATCGAGTGTCTGTCCAAACAATCGCATTATGAAGAGGCTCGCCGGTCTCGTGGTCCCAAACGACGGTAGTTTCTCGTTGATTTGTGATTCCGACGCAGTGTATGCTGGACCGTGAGTAGCCTTGTGCTTCGAAGTCATGGACTGCATGGTCGATACAAGCTTCGACGGAGGAGACGAGCTCGAGGGGATTGTGTTCATGCCAGCTGGGGGAAACATCAATGTCAGTAGAGAAACACCAGATGTAAGCAAATACAGGACAGCCTTACCCTGGATGAGGATAGATCTGAGTGAACTCGACTTGATGGGAGGCAACGGGTTCTCCATCTCGATTGAAGATGAGGAATCGAGTGCTGGTTGTGCCCTGGTCGATCGAGCCGACGAAGATTTCTGAGTCCTGCATGTTAGCCATGTGTTTACTCGAAAGTGATCTTACGCAACAACGTCCTCAAATCCAAGGGGGAAAAGACCAGCAGACATCTTAAATAACCACTGCCTCACCAGGGTGACACAAATCCTCCCGCGCGGGGGAAACAGAGCTGCTTAGTGGGGGTCAACTGGTCTCTGGCCCTGTAGATTGGTGGGAATAATCCGCTGGTAAGGACCAAGACGATTAGGGCATTCACTGCGGCTTGAGCGCCCGGTTAGTGTGTGTGGGTGAGAATGTATTTGTGTGTGTCTGTCAGGGATCCAGGGATCCCAGTACGACGCAAGGCAATGCACCCTCGAGGGTCTGCAGTTTGATTATCATGACCTCCAGTTGTCGCCCTTGGAAGCCTTAAAACAAAAGCCATGCTGACGATCCACTGATACGCTCGACTCCACTGAGCGACAGCGACGATCCGGGGAAATGAAAGGGGCAGAACCCACGGCCGAAGTCGCGTCACGGGTCACGGGGTACAAAGTACAAAGTACAAAGTAGTAACTACTACTAACTACTAACTACTAACTACCTCTCATTCTGCGGGGTGAGAGAACTACACCTCCCATGACTATATTGCACTCTGCTAGTTACTCTCGCTGCAAAAATGTGATCAACGCCTGTACAGCCCGAATTCCAACGCTCGAATCCCAATTACAATCCTGCTAGTCCTGCGGGAATAACCGTGTCTTTGCGGAAGACAAGCACCTTGTTCTTCTCTCTTACCATTCACCACTAATCTTGCTTCTCGCTCCTAGCCTGGTCCATCCCAGCGCCGACATATCACAGAGCATGGGTTAAGGTGTCACACAGGCGTTGCGCAGGGGTGGTATCATGTCTCCATCGTAACTAGCCATGGTGCCAGATGTGACGCTCAAAGTTCAACAGTATAGCGCAATGCATAACTGGCAGTGATTCAGATAAAAGAAATAGGCCAAAGCGTGCAATGGAAAGACCGCCAGACCGACAAATCGACAGATCGACAGAAGAGCAGACTATGAAGCATGAAGCGAACAGCCGCCAGATTGAGACCAGCAGGCTTCCGCCATCGGAATTGTCAACTCCCTCCGTCTCCTTTCCAACTCTCACCATTGAGAAAGCTTCCTGACGGTAGGACAGCTCAACCTTCTAGAAATTACAATTGGGCCCGCGTGGACTTCGTTTTCCCAATGTAGTGACTGTGAGTAACAGAAGCAATGGAAGATTCTCCGTGAGTCTAATCTCCAACACACACACACACACAAGTTATCTCCCCCTTCCAAAGAATATAACCCCAAAAAAGATTAAAATTCAAGAGAAGATGGGAGGTCTACCAGGTACATCGCACTTTTGACAGGTGATGACACCCTCCATCTAGCCGTGTTACCCTAAAGTGGCCATGCAAAAAACCAAGATTGTCTTTCTCTCTGCCAAATGAGACCAATAAGAACATAACAATATACACCGTTCTTGGGAATGAACCAGCAAGAATCGGAAATGGGCCGGTGTTTTCCGGCTACCCAAAACCAAACGGCTGCTGTTTCTACAAACGGGGTTCCCGCAACCCTGGCGGCTTAGTCTTGGGCACGAGCTCCAGATCTATCACAATTCTGCACTATCCAAGAGTCGGTCCGGGGAAATGAAAAGTAGCAGTAGATAATCCGGTGTGCGTTGTGGCTGGCGTGAGAATCGCCAAGTTCACGGTCATCCCGAGTCAGTCCCATTTTCCTCCTGAGCCAGGCAGACCGGTGGCCCGGACCAATTCCCTCGCTTCTTTCCCCCTGCACGACTCACGCGGCCTTGAAAGTAGGCAAGATATACGCCTTTCTGTCGAGGACCCTGCGTCATCCAATAGACCCGAATTACGAGGGATCCGGTCAAGAGTTAGTTGCAGAGGTTACACGACTATGCCTGGTCAGCATTCGCTGATATATCGCTGGATCACCACGCCACTGCTGGCCGAGGACCCGTCCATATTCAACATCAAACAAGATTCCAATTTTCTATTCTTGAAGTTGTTCATCTCCATGGGCTCTTCGACTAGAGTCAACATTGATCCCATGCCGATTACTACGCACAAAGAGGTTGATATTACTGCGAGCCATGCTAGCGGGTCTACTTCTCTATCCTTGCGAAGTAAAAATGAACCATCTATCCATGACCTCGCTATGGAGATCGAGAGCTCTGCAATCAAACCGCCTTTGATATGGTACAAACTCAGGGCCTACGGTCGTGATGCATTCTCCGAGTTCTTTGGAACTATGATCCTGATTCTATTCGGTGACGGCGTCGTTGCGCAAGTCCTCCTCAGCCATGGCCAGAAGGGAGACTATCAATCAATATCTTGGGGATGGGGGTATGCTTTTCTAACAAATTTCTCCAATATTCTCCCCGCCTGACAATGAGCCTTCAGTCTAGGTGTCATGCTCGGAGTATATGTTAGCGGAGCCTCAGGGGCCCATATCAACCCAGCCGTCACGTTCGCCAACTGCGTCTTTCGTAAATTTCCATGGCGCAAATTTCCTGTTTATGCTATATCTCAAGTACTCGGCGCTATGTGTGGTGCAGCAATTGTTTACGGAAACTATAAATCGGCCATCGATGTCTTCGAGGGTGGGTCCAATATACGTACCGTGCCGGGGTACTCGGACACAGCAACAGCGGGGGTTTTCTGCACTTACCCTGCCGACTTCATGACCAAAACGGGGCAATTCTTCTCCGAGTTTATTGCAAGCGCTATTTTGATGTTCATGATCTTTGCTCTCAAAGATGACGGGAACATGGGCGCGGGACCACTAACCCCCCTCGCCCTCTTCTTTGTCATTTTCGGAATCGGTGCTTGTTTTGGCTGGGAAACTGGATATGCTATAAACCTTGCCCGTGACTTTGGGCCAAGGCTTACCTCCTACATGCTGGGCTATGGGCGTGAAGTATGGGCCGCTGGGAATTATTATTTCTGGGTATGTTATTTTTTTCTATTGCCCTTGTCTACGATGACGCCTTGCTTTGCCTCTTAGTGTACTAATTACCTGTTAAATAGGTACCTATGATTGCTCCGTTTTTTGGCTGCACATTTGGCGGCTGGGTTTATGATGTTTTCTTATACACCGGACTAGATAGTCCGATCAACACCCCGTGGATGGGACTCAATCGGATATTTGGATTTATGAAACAGAGGAGAGTGGTACTCTCGAGCCCTGTTTGACAGAATAAAAGAAGCTAGTCGAAAAAGGTCTGTTGGAACCTGTCAACGTCAAGGCTGGTCAGGTGCAAAAACGAGCCACAAAGCGAAAGCAAGGAGAACGCTAGATCGTGTCATAGCAATGATTGCACGCACAACGTCGTTCCAAGAATGATCCAAAAATAAAAGATAAAATGAAACAAACTACATAAATAGGTTACCCCAATGACATCTATTGAGCCACAAAAACTCGGACTGAGACCGCACCTGCATCCACCATGATGACAGAGGGGAGCGTCGCCGAGCCAAGGCCGGATATCCTAGGCAAATCCAGGAGGGGGGGTTTGCGCTCGATTTAGTGACTGGAATAATATAAACAAGGTATACTGCATTTCTCGTGCACACACGTATTGCATGTCACGCTGACTTTCTATTCGGGCCGCATGTCTCGAGAACAGGTACGCCGCCGCAGATGGGCTTTTTGAGCACATGACAGAAATGATGTTGTTTCGAGTGACAAAAGCTTCTACGGAGAGATTTAAAACTAAAGGCATTACGCCGTGAATAAGTTGATCTGGTTTGGGTGATATAAAGAGGCTCGGATGCATCTGCATCGGATTTTGGGATTCGTAACCATCTATAAACATAAGAATAGAAACATCAACAAGAAAGGTTCCAATAGTCATAAGCGCCAATATGCAGTAGCCATGCCAGGCCGAATGTCGTCAAAGTGTCATCAACGCCGTATGTTTTGCATCGAATCGTGATAATAATACAGATGAAATTCATCATCATAAAAGAACTTAGAGCAGCACGACGATGCCACCAAAAATTACACCACCCAAGATTGCCGACAGGACAGCAAGGCTCGCCGGGGACTGGTGCCGACTGGTGGCTGCATTGACCGAAGGGGCGTCATGAGAGGAGTTCGCCGTTGCCGTTGCCTCGCTCCCATCAGTGTCCTCCTCGGTATCTGTAGGTCGCGTCCAGTGCTTTTTGGTTGTCGTGGTCTTGTGCCGCGTCACACTCATCGTCGGGCTCTTAAGCCCAGAGGGGGAAAAGACAGCCGACGATGAAGCCAATGAAACTGACGTAGATAGGAAGGTAGACTGCGAAAGAGAGGATCCGGTCTTAGTGATCGAGTCCAGGGGAGAATTTGTGGGTGCGGGGGAGTGCTCACTGACTGATCCCCCGCTGGGCGGCTGGATACGGTTGGAACGGGATTCCCATCTGCTGGAATGATCGGCGGAGGTTGAAGATGGTACGTCTGTTGCAACCCAGGGCCAAACGTTGGGGGTAACCCAGCTGGAGGTTTCCTTGTGAGTTCCGCTCCAAGGAACGGGAATGCTGTCGACAGTAGCTGTGATTGCAGGGGCAGACTCGGTCGCCGTGGGCTCGTCGGCGCTGTTACCGTTCACCTTACCGCCGTCTGCAGTAATAGAAGACCAGTCGCCGGTCTTGTCGCCGTAGCTATACGAATTTCCAGTCGAGTAGTCGGTCACAGTCATGGACTTCATGTACATGCTGTACGGTCCCTTGCTATAGTCGGTCTCACCACCAGCCCAATCTACAATCCGTGTTAGCATCTCAATTCCGTTGCGGCTGATCAAAAGGATTCACGAACCGATAGTTCCCTGGGAGTTGTTCGGGTCACCGCCGGCCCAAACTCCGACCTTGACCATCATCGGTGTCTGAGGGTACTGGTTGGCGTCGGCAGTGTCAGGAGTCAGAACGCGCACAGTCTTGCCGTCGATGGCCCAGATGACTTGAGTACTCGACCAGTCAATTGAGTATGTGTGGAAGTCATCATGGTTGCCGGAGTTGTCGTGGTAAGCGCCGCGATTGTAGCTGCTGGTATCACCCTTGCCAAAATAGTTGCTCTGTACTTGAGCATTGTTGCCACCGAGCCACTCCCAGTCGATTTCGTCCAAGTCATCGGATTGTAGAACAGCACTGCTGACAATTCCAGTTCCAGGTGCGGCCTTGATTGTGTATTCCACACGTCCAAACATGATGTACCAGTTGGACTGGATCAGTGGCCCATCGCCTTGGTTGGCCACGGTGAAGGTCGCTCCATTGGTGTCATCGTAGGTGACACTGCCGGAGGCAGTGAATTCCGAAGAAGATCCGGATGTGAAATCGAACTTCTGGTCCGCCTTTCCAAGTGCGGGGTCCGCAGGGCAAGCTGCTTTTTGTTAGCGAATGGATCAATCACGGAGGAAAAGTTGAGATTGCCAACTTACATTTCTGGAGGGGATTGCAGTTGGTGTAAGTCTGAGCTGCAACCAGGGCAGAGGAAGAGAGAAGCGCAAGAGCCGCACCAAGATGGAGCTTCATGGTGGGCAATATCGTATGACGAGTTTGTACCGATATGCAGATGAAAATGGGAACGATGTAAAGGGAGAACAGCGAAGAAAAAATGTGGGCGAAGTGGAGGAAGAGAGAAGAAGAAGATGATGATGAGAGGAAAAGAGAAGAAAAGGGGAAGAGAGAGAGAAAGTGAGAAAGAAAGAAAGAGAGAAAGATCAAGTCAACATAGCCACAAGGCAGGCGCGATCTCGTCTCTCTCTTTTTCTCTTGGAAGGTGCAATCCAGCCTCCTCTATTTCGGCAGCTTCCTGATTTGCAGATCCGTGGATCTCCTCGGAATATCATTGGTCCATCCACTGTATAAAGTGGAGAATGCGCCACGTTGTGTGGGGTCGATGTATAAAGACTTCCCAGGGTTGATGTGGTAGATAGATAACAGAATAGAACCAAATACGAAGAGTCGACCTCGACCAGGCTACCGTACATTCCGGCCCGATCTCGATTATACATTCATACATTGGGATCAGCTCTTCCGACAATGAGGCCGGGTTGGCACACAAGAAAACAGAAATCGGTGGCAGGGTACACGTCGGGCAGAAGTGGGTCCTCCCCAGCCTCTCGATTTCTTCACCGTCATCGCCATCGTCTCTAGCCAAGATTGACAGATCCGATCCTCTAATTAAAGAAACTGTTTCTGATTGTCTGGCGGAAATAGTCATTTGCGTCAGCTAGATCCTCATTTCGGGGCCATATTGAGACATCCTGTACGTCATTCTCAAGTGCCTCGTAAAACTGAAACATCTTCATTGTTCTTCATCTTGGCTCAATCAACATTTTGTTGGGTGTGAGAACCCTACCCTGTTATATTCTCAGGCCAGTTCTGAGATGCATGCCGAGGTGTCAGTAAGGTTGGTCTAGACCTGACTCAAATGCAATTGCCGATCAACCCAGAGGCATTCCAGTTGGAGATCAGTGGCGCTACGGATCAAGCTAGTGACTAGGCACAGAAACGCTATTTCTTACACCCCGGACGATCATAATTATGCGGCCGAAAACCTCGTCGAAAGAAAGAAAGAAGCTCTCTTACGATATAATACTATCTCAGGATTTTCGAACCATCTCCGGTAACTATGACCTGCTCTAAATTACAGATACGCGAAGCCGACTTTCCATTCGAGTACGGGAGAGAAACGAAATTCGCATTATTAAATATGGAACAACAATCAAACAAAACGCAAAACCGGCCCATTCACGGTGTATCCGATTATAAAGACTAAAAAACCTCTTGACTGGAGATCGTCACATCGGATACCTTCGTCACAAAGGTTTTGGACTCGATGGTGTGCGACTGGGAAAACCCCTGCTGAAGATCATAATCAAAGGTTGTGGTATGGCTATAGCTGGCTCCAGAATTGTTGATTGGAGTGACCGTAGTTTCCCCCCAGGGTTTAGTCTCAATCATCGGCTGGAGCCCCCCGTCGGTGAAGCTCTCACCTAATGGCTGCTCAGTTGGCACTTTTTTCGTACGAGGTCCAGGGGGCCGGCGAACCGTCCGCACACCTGTTTTCAGCCGATCATCTAGGTCATCAACATAATTATAGGCTTCATCCCCAGATATGGCAAGCCGCTCATAGGAGTCGAGGCCGCCCAGTTTCCACTCAGGAAGGGGTCGCTTGGAGAAACCGATGTCATATTCGAAGAATGGATTCCCTTGAGCGTCGACCATTTCCCGACGAGAATATGTCATATTTGGACTTGAGTCGATTGGTTTGTAGATGGGGTGTTTGCTGTCTTTCTGGTTCATCTTTTTGAATTGTTCGACTCGGAAGTTGACAACCGGATGAATGAACTCGAATGTGTCTCCTAGAGGCTTGCCATTTTCTGCGATATCATATGCGCCCGGCGTACGCTTCTTGCTTCCATTTGCCCAGTACATGGGAGTAAAGCTGTCTTCCATCTCTCCCACTCCCCAGCCGTAAACACGACGTTTCTTGTAAGCAGGCTCGTTGGTGGGCGTGAGAGGGTGGGCGATGGCAGAAACGGTTGACTTGGCATGGCGCCATGCCCAATATCCCCAGGACTCTGTCTTTTGGATGGTGATTCTGGCGTCATAGTTTTCCAGTATTTGGTTCAATTGGAAAAATTTCTGCTCTCGATCGTTTTGCTCATCGATGATGAAGCCCTCATCGACAGAAAGAAACTCGTCAACCTGGTCCAACATCCAAGAGAAGACAATATTGGACATTTCTTCCATATCACCCTTGTTGGCAAGAGTTTCACTGGAACCTCCACCAACATTGATGTGGTAGCCAGGGAACCAAACCTGCTTAAGGGTTGGGTGTAACTCAAGTCGGTTTTGGAATTTCACTCGCCTGCGAGAGGCCTTATTCCAGGCTCTGGCAGCTTGATTAACTTCGTGCGCAGCGTCGTTCACATCCTTATCGGTGGCCTTTCCACAAGCCTTGAGGTCTTTAGCTTGTTTCAAAAGCTTCCAGTATTTCTTTTCGGCTAGGGTCTCCTCTTGTTTTCTGGCCTCAACTTCCTCCAGTGTTGCGGTCTTATTAGACAAATACCATACTGCCGGGGAAAAGGCATTGCGATGTTCATCCAGTGCTAATGCCTGGAAAGCATTCTTGATATCTGAATCATAAAATCAGCACGTAATCTGATAATCAGAATGGGGAATCATACTAGGTGAAAGTCCAACGTTATGCCAGCCATCATTGGAGGGAAGTTTGATGCCCAGGACCTCTGGCATCCCTAAAGACCCAACAGTGTCGTAAACACCGACCACCTCCACTTCTCTGGAGCCCTCCTGGGCCCAATCACCTTGTGGAGGCTTTTGGTAAACAAAGTCTCCTTTCGCCCCTTGGTTTTCGTCTGCCTTCCCCATCTCCAATCAAACCATTCCTCGCTGCGATGGAAACGCTTTCCATGCTTGATATTTTTGTAAACAGCCCAAAGATCCGGAAATTTATTCAAGTCACGCTTGTGACAAATTCCGATATCTGAAATCAAACCAGCGATTGTCCGGGCGGTATAAGCACCGCGGGAAAAACCGAAGCACATGATTTTATCTCCGGGGTTATAGTTCAGGACACAGAAGTTATATGCCTCGATGACATTTCCTTCTAGACCTTTACCAATAGCACCTTCGATGGCGTCTCCCATGGGGAGTGCAGTAGTGCCAACCCCCGAGTCATACCACACAATCTGTTGCCATTTGTCGCCATTCTCGTCGGTGCCGATGCTATTCAGAGAGCGACAAAGCCTGGTGACGTTGGAAGGGATATTTTTCTTCCCAGAGACCGCTGATTGCCATGTACCATCGCAGCAGATGATGATGCGCTTCCTGATAGGAGGGAGCTTGGTATCCTTTCTTTGTCGAAGAATGTAGTCCTCCCCGAGGAGCTCACAGGAAGTTGAATTCATTTGAGATATGATGAATGGAGAATAAAAAGCTGGAAACAGAAACGAGATGAGAAACTGCTATTGAAAAAAAGGGGCGACTTGAGATAGAAATTGCTCTATTTATACCAATGCAGCGAGGTATACGAGGACTTCAAAGTCCTCATAATCATGCAAGTAATCGTTCCCCTCTGAACCATTCTGTGAATACCGTGTGCATGAAGCGATTCAGGCCCAGCCCCAAACTCGGGCAAATCCTAGCGCCGCGATAGGCTATCCGGCAGAGCTGATTCGATTTTAGGGGGCTCAGCTACCCCGCAAATTTACTTTTTCTTCAGCTGCTGAGACGAGCGGCCACGCCTCGTAGCGTCAGCTCGGCTTGATATGCTCACTGGTCAAAAATGGCCCCAGTGTCTGTGCTCTACGAACATCTGTGCTCCACGGACACGAACACCTTCACGCTAAGTACGGGATGCTGCAGAAATAGCCGATCGCGTGGAAAGACACTCAGTCCTTTCAGAGACCGAATCACGTACTGGGTCGATCATGATTCTACATCACTAAGACAATGGTGGAATCGGCTTCGCCACCCTCCCATGGGAAGAACGGGAAATCTCTAATGTCGAACCCAGAACACATTTTCCAATTTGCCACTTGAACGACTCATCGCTAAGATAGAACCCTGATTGTTGCGAACTTCTCGATTATTGGATTGTTCTAAATTATATTTTTCGCTCAGAAACGACTTGATCGAAGGTTTGATGGACGGTGACCCGGTTTGGGTTGATGATCGGACTCGGGTCAACATAAAGGGCCTCCTGACTGCTGTTGTCGTCGTCGAAGGTGTTAGACCTTGGTGATGACACAGTATTCACAATACCTTTACCAGCGTCAATATCTGGTCTCCAATAGCTAGGGTTGCTAAGGGAATTCAGTTCATGACTGTGCGGTTTTGAGAGGGTATGTTTTCGAGAGCTTGTCCGGCCACTGCGCCCATTTCGTCCGTAAGACATGCTGCCGTCTAAAAGCCAGCGGAAGAGTGGTCGTAAAGTCATCAAACTTCCAGCAGTAATCCCAAGTCCCGTTTCAATCACTGACCAAACAGCAATTTGATAGGTGGAGTCTGTTGTGAAAGCTTAATTAGCGATTGTCGGTGATCACCGTGTTTGCTCGGGTGACTTGCAGAGGAAATCGGTATCAGCATAGTGATGCAGGAAGGGAAGTCTAATAATAACTGCCACGCTGGCACTGGATGAATATGTTAGTAGGGGCTCATCATATGTCTTTGACACTCGCAAACTGGCAGGTCACTTACACAGCTCCCAGGCTTAGAATACCCCCAACCGCAATCTTTGTTCTGTGATTCATTTGGAGGTTCCAAACTAGAAAAACCGGTAGTATACCAAGGGCCAGATCGCACACTATCGTGACAGAGCTATAAAAGTATGCAATGGCCAGTAGAGTGTTGATCGATGTACAAGTCCCAGAATGTGTCAGATCAACTTGATTCCAAAAGTAGGAAACCGGTTTGCAGTCGAAAAGTAGTACAAGCCAAAACATGAGACCGATGGCAATGACAGTGGATATCATTACCCAGACAAAGATCCGGTGAGACTTTTTAACGGCCAAGCGAAGCAGAGCAACGCCGATAGAAATCTTAGCCAGAGAAGTAGCCCATAGATAAAACATTTGATTAAGCCACCAAAACTGAGAAATTGAAGTCAGAACTATGATGCATACTTGTGACGATTAATTCTCAGGAAAAGGGCCCGCTTACCAAAAGCGCTTTTTTCAAAGTCAATATGCTCTTGAAATCCTCATTTTTATGACCAATTCCATTATCTGCTCCGATCATACAGGATACGGTCAATGTGATAAATAAAACCTGTGGATTTGTTAGTTGGTTACACAAGCACGACCAAAGCAGAGCCAATTACCAATGCAACCACCATAAGACTGTCATCCCATCCAAACGCCCGAACAACATAAGACCGAACAAGGCACCTCATAGCGACCGCTATGACAGAGACCGCCAGCATCACTGCGGAAGAGGCGAATATCGCCATGCTATGGCCCACCAGGGGCATTTCTTTAGTCATTTTGCCCGTTTTTTGGGTTTCGGTTGACAGCGTGCTGCTTTCAGGGTCGTCAATCGCTGGACCTTGGAACCATAGGATATCCCATAGGCTCGAAGCAATGCATACTCGGGATGAAGAGTTTGGGAAAGCAAGAATTTTCGCATCTCCAGGACATTGTGGCGATCAATCGAGATTTCACGATGAACGGCAGGGGCCGTGACTGCCGAGGTCACAGACAATGAGCCGCTTGAACCACCGAGTGGGGTTAAGGGGGGCCGTTTCATTTGAACTGAGATCGATTAAGTTGGCGAGGGCGATGAATGGAGGGATTCAGGGAAAGATCCACACACTACAGGTTCCACCATCCCGGGAAAGGCATAGATTCGCAGCGGCTAAGAACATCGGGGAGGGTTTTCCCCAGTCAGAGAAACGTGGTTCGCCAGCCTACCGAGCTTCTGGAACTATCTTAGCTAGACCAGGAGGATTGCGGAGTCGTGCCAGTGGGGGTGTTTTCTGCCGAGAAGGACGGCCTCACGATGCATATTCGGTTAGACGAGATCTAGAGCGCCCCCAAACTGTGGCGCCCACATAATTGAAACTGCCGGTGTCAATCCGATTGTTTTACCATGCTTTACTCGGCTGTCAGCGTAATTGCGCTCCTGCTGATCGGGAATCTTACTACGAGTATTACATTGGCGTTGCAAAAAGTTTGAAACCCCATGTTGACTGTTCTTGCCTCCGCCTTCTAATCGCGGACTAGGAGTTACCTGAGATGGAATAGATTGGCCTACTCGTATCTGTTCCATCTCAGGTAGCTACCAATTTCCCATTAGAAGGCGGTAAATCGTGGTGGGCAATATAGGGGTTCAAACTTTTGCAACGCCACTCTACCCCATGCAGCACTATACAGGGACCTACGAGTAGATAGAGTTTTGACACAACTGACATGACTCCGCTCAAATTGACCGAGGGGCCGGGAAATGTTACTAATATTACTACTAGTAGTACACATCGGTGGACATTGGCTTCCAATCAGAATTGGGATTACCCAATGCAGAAATTTCTAAATACATCTAAGTACTCGCACATTTCCCGCCAGTACAAACCAAGTCGTCCGAACAGTCGTCGCTAGAAGAGCATGCTGCGCCTAGCGATGTAGAATATTAGCCCTTGGAGAAAAAACTTCGATGTGACTGATGTCCTACCCGCGCAGTGACCGGTCCAGGAGCAAGAACCATTACTAGGCCCCGATGCACATTTTCCGTTCGTGCAGGCTAGATCCCCCGAACAGTCATCAGAGGAAGAGCAAGAGGCGCCTACGGACTTGGTCAGCAATGTTGAAAACACCCATCGATAGAACAATTTTTACCCGCGCAGTGACCAGGCCATGAACAAGAGCCAGTGGGCCCCGGTCCCGCTGAGGTCGAAGTGCTCGTACTTGTAGTGGTGCTTTTGGAACCACCCGGGCTTAGATCCAAATTTTTCAGAAGTGCGGTGATGAGCTTGTCTCCCATGGAGCGTAAGGTGCTAAAGTTAGTAATGTAGTTCTTATTGAGAGAGCTACTAGGGAGAACCGCATCATTTCCAGTGAAGAGAATATCTTCCGGGGTTAGCATCGCTTCTTGGAAAGGCCGTTGGCTGAACTTACAGGTAACATCGGCATTCCCATGACCGCTGTTCCCACTAAGATTCTCACCTGGGAAGCAAGTTCGTGCCATTAGCCACGACGCTTCCCCAATGACTTCCGGGTCATCACCATCCGAGTCCCCATAAATGCCATAGAACATCTTGTTGTCACTATAGAACACTTAGCATCGATCTTCTAGAGCACGAGGTCTTTACTACAAACCAGATTACGGCAGCAACATTATTGCCGGCCAAATCACTTTGATATGTAGTTCCAAATGTATCAGGAATCACAATAAACGGAACTTCGTAAGCCGCGAGGGCGCCGAAGTTAGTCTCGGACTGCCCATCTGGGTTTCCCTATGTCATTTAATCAGCAATATTCATCACACGACGTCGTAATACAGGCTGAAAGAAAGCAAACTTTACCTTGCACTTGTAGTCGATGCCATCGCAATCCACATCCATATCGGCGATCCACACAAAAGCTGCGCCCTGCGATCAAATGCATTGATCAGCGGCATGGACTTTATAAACAGAGGTTACTTACCTCACTAAAGTTTGTCCAGTCCTTATGAATGGTGACTCGCTTAGCGCCATTGTCCGAATTTATGGGATAAGTGGCATCCTTGGCCGCTTCACTAGCCTTCGCGGCCGCACTTTGCAGCGCAGCGACAGGGACAGTAGTAGCGGCAGCGAAGTAGCTAGCAGGTGGTCCGGCAGTTGGATTGTTATATTTCGAGCCATCCACACTTTGTGACAAGACGGGACTTGTCAATCCTAGACAAGCTAGCAGAACCCAAATGTTGAGAGCCATCGATGTGAACACGATTAGGATATTGGTATAAGGAAAGAGTTTTTGTTTTGTCAGTCGCTCGGCTGAAGTCTTGCTGGGCCCTTTATATTTGTGCTTCTGCTCGGAAGTTATTATTCATCCAGAATGATCACCCCCTTTCGTTTCATGCACCTGTCAGACTGCGGGGATACCGCAAGCCCAAACTTTAGTCGGGATATTTGCTTAGAGCAGCACTTTTGACTAGGTAGTACTATTCAGACAAAAGGGAGCTAGAGTAGCTTGAGAGAGAAATATGCCTGTCAGGGGCAAACTTTATTCGTGATGAGAAAAAAGTAAGCCTACTCATAGTGGGGGCCTAGTTTCACCTGCTCAGTCGGCGCCAAATATGGAATGACGAGCCAAGGTTATTTTCAACAGCATGAGGACAGATACGACCAAAAATGCTACTGAGTCTGTACTAGTATGAACATAATTTAACTATATAGCGGAAAAGGCGAACAAAGTTTAACTGTAACTTGGAAAACTGAAACGCTCGTATCCTTTTGGGTGCATCTAGTATCTCGGAAGGAAGGAGGGCAGCGAGAAGCGGCCACTCTTCGGTTACATCGTGCAGAAGACCCTGTTTCAGCCCATTCACAAGCCACAACTCGAAACACTACATTAGTACATAATATGTAAAGTACTAGTACGAGTAGTATGATTCAGAGCTCCTAGACAGAAAGCGCCCGCGGAATCAAGTACTAGTTAGTACTCGCACGTGCTGGTACTGGCCTCTAGTATGAAGAATCTTGAAGGCTTAGGTATATCCACTAAGTCTGTCCATGATATTATGACCTTTCAGTTTGTTTCTCTCCTGGCTGTCTTGACTAGTACTCTATCCTCGGATCCAATGCTTAGGGTCCTCAGGCTTCTCTAAAAACGAGCTATTCCCGAAATGGAATGGTGTATATCAATGACTAATCCACTCACGTGATACTCGGCGGTCTGCCAAACGCTCACCTCGAATTTCCATCGCATTAAACAACCGACCAATTCTCCAGGGACGTCGAGCAAAATGGCCAAGAAAGGTGCGTCAACATAGGAATACGTCTTCCTCGATACTCCGCGACCTCACATTTCCCCATCATCACCCCGAATCCCGGTGCGGTGGCGATGATGCACTTTCCATCCGCCCCGACACCGAAGAGACACTCCACGATGAACACCCGCTAACATACTCTCTCAATGCAGCGAAGTCTCGCACCATTGCCGTCCGGCTAATCTCCATGGCCATGACTGGCTATTATCGCACAATGATCCGCCCCCGTATCCACCGCCCCCTCTCCATGCTCAAGTACGACCCCGTCGTGAAGAAGAAGGTCCTTTTCCTCGAAGCGACTAAGGGCGGCAAGGCGAAATAAACGCCGGAAAAAGCCTACTTTGAACCGATTTACTGCCCCGATTCGCCTCCTTCTGATATCGAATTTGTCGTCCTTCACACTCGCGCGTTGTTTCGATACTTGGCTTCCTCCGATTTGGTGGTGCAGCGCGCATGCTTCAATACGTTAGCTCCCCGGTACTCGAATCTCTCACACGAGCCTCCAATACCCTATACACTCGACAAAACGACGGGCCATTACCATCCATGCGGATTAGCGGCGGTTATGGAAAGGTGGCAATCGGGCTGTGTAACCTTTTTGTGTACATTATATTCTGAGAAGTGTTGACAGAAGGACCACGAAGGGCATTTGTCTCTCCGTCGGCTCCATCTTTCTACGGCGAACTCCTTTTTTGATGGAGCATTATGTTTGGCGTTTACGAGTGTAACAGCTCTGGTTTTCAACTGAAGATAAAAATCAATTCCCTACTACATATATTTTCCCTGGATTGCCTCGTTCCGACTCCTGAACTGCATAATACTGCTCCACATCATGGAGAGTATGCTCCTGGAGATATGATAAGAAGAAACAGATCAACAAGCTGAATATCACGCTGGGGTCACGGTATCTATATAGGAAGCTAATAACTGCATCCAACGAAGCACAATTCGAGAAGTCAAGCGGCTCCTTTTCGGTAAGAGGTGTAGGTTTCGTTTGCGGAATCCGGCGATATCTTTCAAACAACTAATCCCCCCTATGCCTGGTGATTCTGACGGGATCATTCTTGATTGAAGCGGGCGCTGTAGCGCTCTCCTACACGCAAATGTTAGCCAACGGTCTCAATGAACATAACTGAATCCCGGTTTGAACTTACCTCTTGATCGACGCTTGCCTCGACCACGACTGGCAGTACGTTTGGACGCCTTGTTCCCACTGCTCGCCGAAACTAGCCCTTTGGGACTCGTTCGCCGCTCCACCGTGGGCATATGCGAGGTCTCAGCAGCCTGCTCATGCTGGATCTCGGTGCCTGAGCTGCGAACACGGCTATATGTCCATTTGTGAACATGTTTTGTCATCTTGCTCGGGCGTTCTGCTGTATCCTGCTGCACCTGCGTCAAGATAGACCTAGCACTAGAAGTTCGCGCGGTCATTTTCCCCGGTGGTTGTGACTTGAAGTCCACTGCCTTGCGCTTGAGCTGTTCTGGAGGTTGGTGAATTTTCGGAGAGGATCCAGGTATACTGGCCATCTCACGAGCCGGAGCCGGAGCCGGAGCCTTTCCGGTCTGAATTTCTTCTGGCACCTTCTCGGGGTTGATCGTAGACTGCTTCGCGTTGTCTACATTGAATGGCGATGAAGGACACAAATCGTCCGACATGAACAGCATCGCAAAGTCGCCTGGATCATAATAGGGCGAAGGTGCTCGTTGGGCCGAGAGCTTGTCCTGAATCTCTGAAAAGGGCACAATGCCACTCACTGGCACTTGCTTCAAAGGATCATTAGCTGTATTCGAAGCTAGATTCTGCTCCAGTTCATGAACCCGTTCATGTGCCTGTCTGAGCCGTTCTTGTAGGTCATTTCTTTCCAAGCAAGACGCCGCCTCCGACTCTTGGAAACGTTGTATCTCTGCTATTTGAGTGTTCATTCGTGTCGTGATCTCGGAGTTTGTTTCAGCCAGATGCTGGACTTGTTGCTCGGATTCGCGGAGCTGTAGCAATATTAGTACTGGTGAATGCGACAGGAGCCTTGGCCCTTACCAGTGCTACGCGCTCTTCCCGTTGTTCATCGATCTTTTTCTGTGCGTTGATCTTACTCTGTCAGCAACGCATTATTGAATGTTATTTCTCACACTCACCAAAGACTCCTGAACGCCCTGCAGTTGGCCAAGGAGTGCCCCAGTCTCGTCCTTGAGCCTTTCCTTTTCTCTTTCAATGGTACCAATTTGTAGGTCGTGATGAAGCTGCATCTCATTCCTAGAGGTGATCTTCCCCTCATCTATCATCTTCCGGGCGTCTTCCTTGATAGATTTTATTTGCTCCTGCAAACAAGTATTCTCCGCTTCCAGTCGCATCCCGCGATTTTCCAAAGATTGATACTTTGTATTCGACTCTGCCGTCGACTTTTGCAATCTTTGATTCTCGACTTCTCGCTCGTGCAAACTCCGGCGAAGACTTTCAGTCTCAGAAGAGATGGTTTGAAGGCGAAGTTGGAGCTGGGTATTCTCGGAGAACGTTTTGGACACTTCCAACTCAAGTAGCGGGTTGTTGAGCGGGGGTTGAGACTCGAGCAATCTGTGACTGAGGCCCTTCAATTCATGTACGAGATGATTTCCACTGACTGTCAAAGATTTCACCGAGCCATCGAGATCATTCAACACAGGAGAAAAGCCTTCCAGTCTATTACCAAGAGATCCATGAGCAGCATTGCAACGATCAAGCTGTCTAGAAAGGGTCGAATCGGATCCAAAGCTGCTCTCAATCATCTTCGTGTTTGCCTCAATGCTTTGCGAAGCTTGGAGGTTCGTTCTGGTGGTCACTTCAGCATCTGCCATCAAACGCGCTGCCACTACATCGATTCTGAGCTCGTCGTTAGCACGGTAATCAAAAAGCCAATTCTTGCTTTGGGGGTCCGTAAACTCACCGGGCGGCAACATCATGAATGGTGTTTGTAAAGTCTTGAACATCTCTTGTTTCGGCAGAGCATCGTTCTCCCAGATCTCGAACCGAATCCCGGCATTCTTCGAGAGTAGATCTGATTTCGGACAAAACCGCATCTCGAGTGTTGTTTGAAGCTTCGGAGATGTCCTCCAGTCCTGAAATTAGCTTCTCCCGCAACTTCGCGTGATCTTCTCTGAGAAGATTGACCTGTCTGATCTGACTGCGAGAGTAGTTTTGGATGTATGACTCAAGTGTATTGCTTCGCTTCTTTTCATTGGCTAAACCGGAGATAGATTCCTTGAGCTGTTCTCTCGAGGCAAGTAGGGCTTGTTCCAGACCCGCCACTTGCTTCTCATAGTCGGCAATTTCCATTCGCTGATCATCGATTGTGTCTTCTGCTCGCACAATTTGAAGCTTTATCTCATCGATAGAGCTGGTCAAGGCATGCCGCTCATCTTGGAGAGACGAGGTAGTCGCCTTCAATCTATCTGAGTCGAGTCGCAGCGTTTCGAAGTCGTGGCCGAGCTCATTGATGATCTGTTTGAACTTGGTGATCTTTTCCTTCCAGCTAATTACTCGGTCCTCTTGAGATTTGCATTTGGCTTCCAGACTCAAAAGCTTTCCCTCGTACACCTTCCCCTGGCCTCGAAGGCTCTGGTTTTCCCTTTTCAGCTGCACGTTGTCCATTTCCAGCTGTTGTTGCATATCCGCGGCGGCTGCTTCCTTCTCTTCGCGGATTCTTATTTTTGCAATGAGAAGCTCAAAAAGCATTTCCTCGTTCATCTGAGGGGGGTTTACTCTCACGGCGAGATTTGGTGACCCTGGAGCCATCGCTCGAGCGGATCGTGGACCGAGGGAGGTTGACTTTCCGAACCAAGGGGTCGCGAATTTTGTCTCGCTTAGAATCAGGAGCAGCCTCTGTTGTATCTGCGGCATTTCTGTGAGCAGACTTGGGGCCAGATCGTGGGTGCTTGGGTAGATTCGGGGGTAATTGATTATCGGTATTGGTGACCAGCAATCGAGATAAATCGTCTTCGGGATGAGAGCTAGTCGGACTGTAGCCAGATTAAATTGCAGGTAAGCAGTCGGAATAAAGCTCCGAGGAAAAGAAATTGAGGCATACCGCTCTTGATGCAAGGGCTTCAGGTTTTCAAATCCCATTGTCTTCAGGATTGAGAGACTGGTGGCTCCAGGCGGAGGAGGGTTGATGCGTCCTGGTTTTGGCATACCACGTAAGGAGAACCCTTGGTGACGTGAGGCTGGTTTCATGAATGAGAATTCGGACGGATCAACTCCAAAGCTCGGTGGACGCTGCATAAGCAATGGAGCCCGTTTCTCAGCCTCGTCATTGGGGATGTCAACTAACCCTGGGGGTTGGGGCTCTAGCGAAGGGGAATCTAACCCTGCTTGGATGATTGTCTCGTCATCCATTTCTCTTTCGTTCTCTTTCCACGGTTCTTCTCAAAGAGAGTTATCAGAGCGAATGAAGGTGTGAGATGGGAGGAAGTTTAGGAGAGAATAGCTGAAATGGTTGAACTGGCAGGCACCAACCGCATCACCAGATGGGATGGCACATGACAATCGGTCACGGTATCTACGCGGAGTAGGCCAGGGGGTCTACCTAAAGGTAAGATAAGGTACTAGGATAGAATATGGGGCATTTATTATAGAAACAAGAATACATGATTGAGCATTGAGGAAAATGCGGTTGGATAGTATCATGCAGAACCAACGATTACCTTCACCACCCTCACCAGAAGACAATACGACGACGACCACCAGCAACACCTGCACCAGTATTACCACCTGCACCACCTGTACCACCGCCGCCACGTCCACGGCCACGAGCACGGCCACGAGCAATAGGACGACCAGTACGACCACCACGACCCGCACCTGTGCCTGTACCACCTAGATTTGCACCAGGTGGAGGGCTTGCCACAATCTGTAACTGAGGACCTCGATCTTGCCTCCACCTATGTGTGATTGGGAGGGTTGTGTCAGGAATTTTTGTGAGATCGGACTTCTTGGAAGTGAGATACAGTTCTCTGTTTCCATTGGGAGAAGTAGCACTGAAAAGCACATCTCTCACCACCCTGCCGCTTAGCCTCAAGGTAGGTCGACCGCTGCCAGCTTGCACAGTGGCGATCACGTTGATAAAAGGCATTAAATAGCCATCTGGAGTATCGGGGTCGGTTAAAGCTAAAGTTAGCTCGACTACTCGCCACCATACTGTATGACTGACTGTTGAGCACTCAGCCCATCCAAGAGTTGTAGTACTACTGCGCGGATTTAGTTGAAGCATTTGTTCTAAATCACCTTCAAATATCGATAGAGTATCGGCTCCAGTATCGTCTATAAAGTCAAGTTTAAGCGGGATACCGCCGCCCGGGGGAAGTATTGCAATGTTTAACTAGAAGACAACATGGCGAGTCAGATACTAGGTATAGATGTCGTCCAATATGGAATAGAATCATACATAATGTTCACCGTTTTGTCTTGCCGACTGCGGAATTGTCGTCAGTGCGCGAAGCCCGGTTTCCAGTGGTGTAATCTAGAATAAGGGTTAGCCATAAAATCTTCGTTTTTTTAAATCACAGTGACCGCTGACGTACGCCTTCTACCCAGAAGCCCTGGGTGGCTGAGTAATTCTGCGCAAGTCTTTCACATTCTTCCCAGGTGAAGTCTTTCGCTGGAGTAAGACGCTCTCCCCGCCCCCAGTAGGTAACTTTACCAGGAATCCAGCTCAGCGATCCAGCTATATACTCATCAAGCATAGCCCGGATGTTGGGGATCTCCTTATCCGGATCACCATTATCCTCAAGAGCTTCCTTGATGTTTATGAGGGAATTTATACGCAGCACAACGTTCCAGTCAAGCCCCGCCGGTAAGCCCTCTCTCAGTTTTTCATCATCCTTCCGTCTCTTTTCATAGTTCTCTAATCTTGTCTGGAAGAACTTAGGCATTATATTGTCTTTGATTCTCTCGTGACATCTTCTAATCTGGCCCACTATGTCATCGGGATCAAGGTCTGGCTCATCCGGGTTCCATCCATCCGGCACTTGCTCGGGATCTTCAATGGCCTTGGCTCCAGGTGCCCTCCATCTTTCTTGTCGTGGCCGCAGCTTGGGTTGAGAGGGTTTTGGAGCCAATGGTGGGGTGAATGTCGAATCCATATCTCCGATCGAGTACGTGCCGGCCAATTGACCCGCTTGTCGTTTCCTTTTAACGTGCCAAAATCCGATGACGGAGCTATTAGCTGGACGTTTATTTTCAAATTGAGGGAGCTCTTCGCCTGCCATTTTTGCAAGATTTGAGGGTTGAAGAATTGATAAATGTAAGAAAGTAAAGGTCTGGGTTTTCAATAGATTCTCCACTACGTTCGTAGACGGCGACAATGGTTCATATTTATCTTGAAACCATTCTATTGTGGAATTCGAATGCAATAACTGCCTGGAAGATATAACTGAATGGCCTCCGAAATTGACATTAATGCTTATGACTATTTCTGACTCAACAAAGGTTAGACTCTATCTATTTCTTAGAAAACCTGCTACTCTTTGTAGCCATTGGCCTCAACCACGGTTACATGTCTTCGAAGTTCTTTCAGTCTTTCATCGAGGCACCTGGCCCCGTCAAAACCAACACTCTACTTCAAAAATCACTCGTAATATTACATTAACTTATTTTGGATGCCTGAGAAGATATGTTTTCCCTCGCGCCTATGAGAGTTTCTCATACGATTTTCCCAGCTCCTTATGCCTAGTCATTGCTTCCGATGCGGCACCCAAGCGTTTGATCACCGTTAGCTTAGCCCCTATGGCTCATGTTATATGCCTCTAGGCACATATGGCTTTAGTCTGGGCTTCTCTTTGTCCGGTGCTGGAGGTCAGTTGAGTTTTCAGAGGTCAATGAGCCCATGGATAACACCATGGTCTTTCATCTTTTTCTCTTTGATTCGAGTCTTGTAAAGTTTCCTCGGTAGAGCTTTGAGACGTTTGCCTCGACAGTCTGCCCAGTACCAAATTTAAATTCCCGTGAAGTGCCCAACCTTGGAAAAAGGCCTCCCCCAGCCGGGTGCAGCGTAATTCCTGAGATTCTAACAATATACATTACGGAGAAATCCAGTCTGCAATATTATCAGAATGAGCAACGAAAATTCCCCAAATCGGGTTCCAACTGGTTAGTAGTATTCAAATCTCAGTATGTCATGCCGAACACCGCACCTAATGTCACAAGGATCCGCACCGAGTACCGATGAGACCCCCGCACGTCCCCGATATGAAACTGGGGCGCACCTTCTCATGTGTCCCCTCACATGCCCCCCGAGAAAGGATGATAATTTTATCAATGTGGTTTCGGAGTACCGTAGTGAGATTGACAAGTACCTCGATAGTGCAACTCCGTTCCAAGACGAACTTCGAACTGTTGTCCTGTATTCCAGCGGGGTGACAGGAAAGACTACTCTTGCCGTTCACTACGCAGTGACGAGATCCTTCCTCATCGGAACCAGATTTATACTTTGGGTTGACTGTGGCGATATCGTTTCACTGAAGAGAAGCTTCAGTGATATAGCCGCGAGGCTCCAGCTCCCTGGCTACGATTCTCGAGATCATGATACGAATCGGGACCTGGTATTAGACTACCTGCAAGACACCAGTGGGTATTCTGCATCATTTTCCAACGGCCTACTCTTACATTCACTCTAGATTTTTCATGGATTATCATTTACGACGATGTAACTAGTTTCGATCTGATCAAACATTACTGGCCGGATGAGACTTGCGATGGGCGAGCTATCATCACAACAAAAAGTGATGCGCTCGGTCTGGGTAGCTTTGGCAAACTTCCTTCGCTGAAGCCTGAAGCATTCATAGAGTTGAAGGCAATTAATATCCAGCAGAAGAGTCTCGATGAGACATTACGCGACCTGCTCAAAATCGAGGCTCATCTCCCCATGGGGTCAACCCTCAATTATTCCAATGACGAAAAGGAAGATATTTACCACCTCTGCAGCAGACTCGAAGGTAACATGCAAGAGATGATAATGATGGGAGCGCTCCTCGGTTGGAAGATATGCACCATTGAGGCCATGGGTGATTATTTTGAAAGGTTTGGGTATCAGCCTAGTGACTACCAATCACCAGTTTGGCCCTTGGTCTTTGAGTCTCTAAGTTCCAACTCTCGGAGTCTATTAACAATTATAGCCTTCCTACACGGTGAAATGGGCATTCCCCTTGATTTGTTTAGAACTCGGCCGCTCCCTGAGGATATGGCTTGGTGCAAAAATGATGCGGAGTAAGTCTCGAATCCCAATCGTCGCTTTTCAACTGCGGCTCACTATTCAAACAGGCTGCGAACAGTACTTCAAGAGCTCGGTGATCTATCTCTTATTTCTTGGGTGGATGAGCTACATCTTGTTGGAATTTCACACACCACGCAAACAAACTTCCTCAAATGGCTGGGCGAAGAAGGTGTGTCCGTCGGCTTGGAAAGAGCCACAAAGCTTCTTCATGAACTTCATCACGTGCAAATCCGTGACAATGTTGAGAAACAGAGCATGATAGACTACAATGTCTTCTTTTTTTGTCTACCACATGTACGTAGTCTGAAAGATAAATTCAGAGCGGCACGACAATCGTTTCCAATGATTAAGGGCTCCCGTGAGCTTTGCGAGCTTTTAGTTGGATGTGCTCGGTACGTCCCGGTTTCTTCCAAGGTTCCTTATCTACTGGGGAAATGGCCCAAAATGCTGATGCTTTTTAACATAGATACATGTTACACGAAGGCTTTCTTTCAGAGGTCTTGGACATGATAGAAGTCCACCAGTTGGCTTTTGGGGCACTTCCCCCCGATCGGCAAAGTTCCTTGAATCTAACGAATACATTATATTTAAAATGGAGAGTCCATATTCATCGTGGGGAAAAGGAAGAGGCTCTTGAAGCTGCAATCAAAATACACGATGTTTATGGCTGGACTCTGTCCCAAGAAGCTCGGGTATCCGAGGGATCGAGCTACCTCATGGCCCTGTCTTATATCTCGACGGGAAATTATTCAAAGGGCCTTGAATGGTTTTGGAGAGTAAGTGATGCCTGGAGGGAAAATGCTTCCGTTCCCCGGGTACAAGCCGTGATAGTCTGCCGTTGCCTCCAATTCTGATGGCCCAAGAAGGCTGGGCCTGTTTGTTACTCAATGATCTAGATTCGGCAAAACCGCTCCTCGAGGCGGCACATGAACACATCAAACCAGAGTATCAATATGGCCCGGAAGCTACAAGCAAAACGGAATTGTAAGACCACTAGTATCAGCTACATCCACCTCAAGATATAATTTAACATGTCTCTTAGTGTGAATTTCCATCTTGCCAAGCTACGGATTCGCGAAAAGAATTTCGCAGATGCGAAAGAGAAGCTGTTGACTGCACAAAACTGTATAAGGAAATACCCTTTGCAGGAATTCTCGCAGTTCCATGCTTCATATCTATACTATCTTGCTTTGTGTGAGAAGGAATTGGGAAACCTACAACAGGCCAGGTAAGAATGCCATTTCAGGATCTATTTTCTATTACTAACTTGGATTTCTCAGAACATACATTGATTCTACAGCTCGCATCACACGTATCTACCAAGATGAGATGCCCATGGAACACGCTCGTTGTCTTCATATGCTAGCTGAGATCTCGAGCCGACAGCCACCACAGAATGAATCCGTGACCCACGAGGCCAGACTGGCAGCTAATCTTTTAATCCTCAAGCATGTGCACGCAGGTGGGGATGCTGATGTTAGACACATCGCGTTCGAAACCGAAGCTCCACAGGCACGATTTGAAGAGGCTCTTGCGGAGAAGATATTTTGCCTTTGGCGTTGATTTTATTTTTGAACGATTGACCTTGCTATTTTTATTTGGATGTTTGAGTGCTGACTAGTTAGTGGACAATATTATGTATGTTGACATTGTTTTGTAAATTGAATTAACGAGTTGGAAAAACACTACATTTACGCGATTTACATACATAGATACTCTCGGCATAATAGTTTTTACTTTCGTTGAGAAAGAATAGATTACACATGATAGCTCCGAAGATAATTCTTCCTCGCCATGACTTGCATCGAACAAAGCGGAAATTCGGGGAAGCCCGAGCGTCCGCCCCATTCAGTGCGGGTGCGAGGCCCACCCATCAAAGCCCAGCTCGTATCGGCTCATCTTAAAAAGCTCGTATTGGACTATTTAGGCGAATTAAGATCAACGGCTACTAATCCTTTTGGCTACATGCTTATGCGACATCATCTATATCCACCTAACCTCAATATAGCTCCACGAACGGAAGATCAGTGGGCCAGACAGTGGCAGGGAGGGGGCCAGGAAGATTGCGGTGGCAAGGATGGGACAGAGGGTACTTTTTTGCCTTCTTTGTTGAAAGGCCGATACAAGTTCTAGGCGTGGATCGGCAATGGAAAGCCTCCTGCTGACCCGGTCGGTTTCTTTGATCGGAAGTTGGGTTGACTTCAAGCATCGTACCCAACCAGCGTCTGACAGCCATCGGAAGCAATGGCCCCTGACTCGGGTAGGGAAGGAGGAAAAATAAGCCGAATGAAAGGAGGGCCCGCTCAGGAAAGGGTGAAACCGTCCGGTTTGTAGCGCGAGCCACCTTTTCTTTGTCAAGAGACAGATGAAACGCCCCTCTAACGAGGATTATGGCGATAGTCGCCCGCCCCTACCCCCAGTGGAGCCCGATGTGGACGGTCTCATAACTTTAATGGGCCTCTGCCAAGAACCGGTTCTCTGCCAGGATGAGTAGCTGGTACATGGAGTGACACAGATTGAACGATTCAGCGGAGCGTAGGTCCACTTCGGGGGAAAGAGAGTAGATAACTCGTAGAATATTGAATATGATGAATACGATACATAGATATCAAGAAAGGTCTGATCTGGTCTCTTCGGAGACAACCTTAGATCTCGGAAGGATCCTATCGATCTGTGGGTGAGATACTCCTTAGATTGAGCATACATATGTGCCCTAACCTGGGGCTGGAGCGAATGTTCGACAGGTGTTCCATGACCGTTGCTGTACGACCAAGACAGCGATGAGCCATGGGGGCGGTCAGCAACGTGGCGGCCACGAGAAAGCAAGAGACGTAAGCATAAAAAGTATAACCTCGCGTGGCAAGGCAGGAGATTGACCGATCACACAGGATGCAGGTACCGGTACGAAGTACGGAGTAGCGAATGCTAGTTGGTTCAATTGGGAGTGTGATGAGTCGAGAGAAGGAAGCTGTGTGGCATCCTTTTTACTCATAGGTGCAGGAACTAGCCTTCGATCCTTCGATCCACCAACGTCCCGCTATGGATTAAAGGCAATTCATCGATGGCCGGACAGGTCAGTTTCTGCAGTATCGACTGTACTCTGCATTAGTCTGGGAGCCTGTAGCGATCTAGAGTGTGGGCCGCAGGGAAGTCCGCTGGAGGACGAAGGGGGACAAATGTCCGATCTCTAGACGCAATCAATCAATAAAAAAACAAGAGATCAAAAAGAGAGCACTGTACTCCGTACTCCGTACTCCGTTGCGGCATCTGCGCATCTGCATCTGCATCTGCATCTGCATCTGCAGGCTGCATCTCTGAAAAGGACTTGCAGGGGAGGGAGGGAAGAGAAAGTACGGAGTACAGAGAAAGCAAACTAAACTGAAATTCGTAGGGATCGCCCGGTGCCTTCCCCTTTTCTCCTTTCAACTTTCCCTTTTTCCTTTTTTTCCTTTTTGTTCCTGCAAATCCGCGTGATTGGTCGTTCTGCCACCTTTCCACTTGACCGCTCGCTCCCCTTTTGCTTTCATCCCTCCGCAAACTTGCAGAGAGAGAGAGACCGAGAGAAACAGTGTCAGTGTCAGTGTCAGTGTCAGAGACAAGAAGAGACACTTTGTTGCTGGAATACCAATTCGTCCGGTTTCACTCTCCCAGCCTTTACTTCCATCTCCTCCCGTTAATCTCAACGGCTGCCGCTCAGGTCTCTCGTCGCTCTCGGACCTTGGTCCTTTTTCCTTGAATATACTTAGTTCCGCTACTGCTCTCTCCAAGTCTCCTTTTTTCGCTTGGGAGGTATCCTTTTGCTGGTTACATTTCATCCATCGATTCCGCATCACCTCCTCGACCTTTGACTTGAGGTCCGACTCTTCGTTCTCACCCCGTCGTATCTCCGCCCAACGTCATTGGATCCCCCTCCGTCCCCCCCCCCCGCGCGCGCCCTGCGAACCCTGCGAACATATACCAAACCAACTGCGGGACACCATCTTCTCCTATGGAAATCGTGATTCACGCCCCATAGTTACCATCCAATTTTTCCTTTTCATTCCGTTGTTCCTTCAACGGTCCTACCCGACGCGAACGATCCGTTTTCGAGCCCTTGGACAAGTGTGATGTGGCCAGGAAGCTTTATCTTGCAATAATCACTCTTCAGTCATTGCCCGAATCCCATCACCATGGGAAATTCTCAGGGAAAGCCAGTGGCTTGTAATGATGCGGGTAAGTTGACACCTATCCCACCGATGCTTCGGCCCTTTCTCGGCACCGTGTTTAGCATGTGCTAACATGCTCATCTAGTTAACCTTAACCACTTCCGCCTCCTCCGCGTTGTCGGAAAGGGTGCCTTTGGAAAGGTCCGCATTGTCGAGCGCAAAGACACCGGCTTGACATTTGCGCTCAAGTATATTCGTAAAGAGGAAGGTGCGTTCAATTATCTCTATCTCATCCCGCGAATTCGCTGGAGCTCGACTGATTGCGAAAATAGTGGTTCGTTCGGAGAGTGTACGAAATATCATTCGTGAACGAAGAATGCTGGAGCATCTGAATCACCCATTTCTTTGTAACTTGCGCTACAGTTTCCAAGATATGGAATACATGTGAGTCGCCAAGTCGAAATATCCAGAGTCTGGTTGCTAATCGCAGAATAGATATATTGTGGTTGACCTCATGAATGGCGGTGATCTTCGATTTCATATCTCGCGGAAATGTTTTACGGAAGAGGCCGTACGGTTCTGGATGGCCGAGCTTGGTTGTGCCTTGAAGTATATCCATTCGCAGGGCATCATTCACCGAGACCTGAAGCCAGACAACGTGCTCTTGGACTCTGAAGGACATGTCCACTTGGCTGACTTTGTATGTTTAATACTTATATTCTACCCCCTCCCCTTTACCTCAGTGTACCACGCGGGAACGGCAACTGACTTCGTTCAACCCAGAATGTCGCGTCGGACTTTCGACCGGGCAAGCCTCTTACAAGCAAGTCTGGAACCCTGGCGTATCTCGCCCCAGAGGTGTACGAGGGTAGTGGGTACTACTTTGAAGTCGATTGGTGGTCTCTGGGTGTCACATTCTATGAATGTATCTACAACAAGGTATGCAAGTTCCCACCTACCATTGTGGCCGATCTAATCTTTTTCCCCATCACTAGCGACCATTCGAAGGCCGAAGCCAAGATACTCTGAGTGAAAATATCAAGAAAGCCCAACCGAAGTACTATGTCACCAACCCCGCCGTATCGGTTCCCTGTTTACGTGCCTTGGGATCATTGATGGAACGCGACCGGAGTCGTCGAATTGGTGCTATCGGATTCGAAACCTTCACCTCCCATATGTTCTTCGCCGATATTGATTTCGCTGCCCTCGAGCGAAAGGAGATTCCTCCTGTTTTCCGGCCCTCCAGCGACAAGACAAATTTCGACGCGACGTACGATTTGGAGGAACTGCTCTTAGAAGAGGCACCCTTGGAGGCTCGAGCTCGGCGACAGAAGCCTCGGGCGGAGCTTCGTGAGGACGCCACTGCGAAGGAAATTCGAGAGGATGAGCTGCATCGGTTGATAGAGACTATGTTTGAGCCTTTCGACTATACTCTCGTCAACTTCCAAGGGAATGCTGCCGACGCGATCGCGGCTGCAACGTAAGTACTCCTAGCTGATACACATCAGCGACACTTTTGCTTATATCTTTCGTCAATAGGAACCCCGAAGATATTCTTCCCATCGCCACTGCGACCACAACCGTTCACGCCCGCCATCCCTCGCATCCTGAATCCTCTATGCCCCGCCCGCAGCATGAAGCGCCATTGCCCCCGTTGCCTCATAATGAGAACCTGACCACAGTGAGCGAGAATCTCGATCCAAATGACCCGACCTCTCCCTACCCGCCTCCTTCTCCGTCGACTCGGGCATCAGCCTCCCCCCCCCCCACTACTCCATCCTTCCATCGCCCATTACCTCAAGCTCGGCCGCGCGGAGCCATAAGGAAACCAAGCAAAGGAGGAGGTGTGCAAATGGTTCTGGACGAGGCTGGAAGCTGGAGTGAGCTTTCCAATCACAGCTCGCTTCCTGCAGAAGGACTCGAAGGCGACAGCAAGGGAAAAAGTTCAAACAGCGGCATGCTCTCCTTCCTTAGTCGGAAAAAGGGCCGTGACCGTAGCCCCAAGCCCACCGAACCGGGTGTGCTGGGCAAAGAAGGAGCTCGACAGATCATCAGCAGCTAAGGCGCTTCTTCTGGCAATAGTACACGATCACTGCGTGTCAGCGAACACTGGTTTTCCGAACAGACATGTGTGATCGTGGTATTGGTTGCTTTCCCCCCAGAACAAGGCCCGGCGTGGCTTCCTCTCCGTGTGATAACCTTGGTCCGTGGTTGGCCCAGCCATTCCGCGCCCTCATTCTCATGCCTGGTTCAAGCCAGCAGTACTGCTACGCCCGTTCCACCGCTTCACTTTTTTGGCCTGGAAGACGCGAGGCCAACTCGGTTATCCCTGTACAGCAACTCTCAGGGCCCCATATCTAGGTCATGACCAGAGACCCCATGGGGTCCCATAACATCTTCTGCAACGATTTGCAGCAAGGGTTGCCAGTGGCACCCATTTTTCGTTCTTCTAGATTCCCCGGGCTCAGCGACAATCTTATATTCTTTCCTCTTTCCTTTCTTCCGATGTTTTCTTTCCTGCCTTCTTTCCTACATCAAGTTTGTACCAATGGACCTTCTCATAGGTCATTCGGTAGGCTGTCTGCACTGACATCTGTTTTCATACGTTATTTTTATGTGTTCCTATCCTTGGATCTTGTATTTTTGTTGGAGTTCGCATACCCTGATTGATCATGACAGTTTATAGTGTTGGCCTAGAGAGAGACTGGCGCTCGTTGCATTTGAGGGAGGACTGGTGTATTTAATGTCTGTTCAGCCATCTGGAATCCAACAGAAGGCACATTGCAAGATGCTACCATATACAAATGGAGATAGAAAATCAAATAGTTCAAGCTGGTCTTCTCATTAATTACACTTCACTACTTCATTACGTCACTCGATTTACGATTATCGGCCATCAGGCTGAACCAATTCGTTGCTCCGCAACAGCGAAGTCGCAGACTCCACCTAGATCCAAAGATAAGACACAATCCACAACCAAGAATCAAGTTTAGATCAAAAAGTCATCCCTCAATTTACGAGTAGCTAGCATCGAGCAACCGCCAGTCATCAGAGTATTACCCGGTGTGTATGCGCGGCCTTCCAAACTAACGCGCATGCGGCAAAACCTAAACAACAAAAACTCCGAGATTCATCCACAAGCGCATCCATCCCCCCTCCGAGTCCCCTTCGTCTACTCAACACACCCAACCCAAATTCAGTCCAATCTGAAGAAGAACCCAAGGAATGGCCGGTCCATTTCTCTAAATTCCAATTCCAATTCCAATCCCGACCAATTCCTTCCCATAACCCCCCCGATCCGCAGACATAGGGCCCCGGCCACATCAAGCCAAGAGCCAAGGTCACGCCAACACGTTTCGCGGGGACAAAATAAGACATTCTCAGAACGACATTCCACACCTTCCACACCCCTGAATTCTCTAAGAAGGACCTACCAAATACGATCGCCGATCGGCTAGCCGAATAGTCCACATACATACCTGGTCTCCGAACGATCAACATTCCACGAACCCGATGCCCGACCACTCACGCAGCCGTGACCGGTACGGCTCACGCGACCGCGCACGCGAGTCCCGACGAGAACGCGATCGGGACCGGGAGTACACCCGCGGCCGGGACGATGAGGGGGATATCTCCAGTCCTGGAGCGCGGGGCAAGTATCGATTTCGCGGCCAGGAGTCGGGCTACGAGTCGCACGATGCGGGGGCAGGACGGAATAGAGATGGAGGGAGCGAGGATGAAGAGCGCAGACGGGAGAGGAGGGAGCGCAGGGAGAGACGACGACTGCGCGAGGAAGAACGGGCTTACAATGAGGCTGTTGAGGAGCGCAGGAGGGAGAGAGAGATGTCCAAGGCGAAGGAGTCGCCTGCTACGTCACCGGTTAAGAAGCGGGATCGAGAAAGGGATCGGGAGGGTTATAGGAGGGGACGATATGAGGATGATAGTCGGAGCCCTGCGAGAGATGTTAGGGAGAGGAGATACCGGTCTAGAGGCGATGATGTTGACAGGGAGAGGGATGCTGATACTGATGCTGAAGCGAGGCGGCAGAGGCGAAGAGAGAGGCATAGAGAGAAGGAAAGGGAGAGGGAAAGGAGTATGGAGGCTGCTGCTGTTGCTGCTGCTGCGTCCAAGTCAAGAAGGCATCAAAGTACCGAATCGACGAGCAGTGCCTCACATCTACTGAGTGCTGATGCGTTGGCCAGATTGGCAACGGAGAACCAAGATGCGGATCAAGCAGAGCGGACTCGAGATAAAGACGAAGCTAAACGAGAGCGTCGTCGACAAAAGAAGAAAGCTGCTGTGGCTGGTGCTGGTGCTGCTGGTGCCGCGGGGGCTGCTACTCTAGGTGATGATATCGTCGACAGGTCAAGACACAAATCTGGTACCAGGATCGTGTCTGGCTCATACTTGGAGGAAGGCCGAAGTCCTGAGATGAAGATGCGTCGGCGTGGAGGTGGTGGTGCTGCTATGGAAGATCACTGGAAGGATGAGGCCAGCTGGGATGATAGCTTCCAAGATGACAATCGGCAACCACGCTGGAAATTCTGGGCCAATTGGTCTAAGAAAACGCGCATTATTGTCGGTGCTGTCATGCTGGTCATTTTGCTCCTTGTTATCATCATCCCGGTAGCTGTCACAGTATCGAAGAACAAAAGTAGCGACTCTGGCAGTGGCGGCGGTTCGTCTGGTTCCTCGAGTCCATCCAATTCCAATCTCGATGGTATCAGTCGTGATAGCATCCCGGTGAGTCCTCTCTGGCGTGTCTTCGATGTCAAAATATACTAACTTATCTTCCAATCTAGGCCTATGCAAAAGGAACGGTGCTTGATCCCTTTACTTGGTATGATACTAACGGCTTCAACGTGACTTTCACCAATGCCACTGTCGGGGGCCTTCATCTCATGGGCCTAAACTCGACGTGGGATGATTCTACAAGAGCCAACGACAATGTTCCTCCGCTCAACGAAAAGTTTCCATACGGCTCCCAGCCCATCCGCGGCGTTAATCTTGGTGGATGGCTTTCAATTGAGCCCTTCATTACGCCATCTCTATTCTCAGGCTACTCCAGCACTGACAGTATAATTGATGAGTGGACGCTGACCAAGAAGCTCGGCTCGTCCGCAGCTGATACCATCGAAAAGCATTATGCAAACTTTCTCTCCGAATCGGACTTTGCTGAGATCCAAGAGGCCGGGTTGGACCATGTACGCATCCAGTACTCCTACTGGGCAGTGACTACATATGATGGCGATCCCTACGTTCCAAAAATTGCCTGGCGTTATCTTCTCCGTGCGATCGAATATTGTCGCAAGTATGGGCTACGTGTCAATCTTGATCTCCATGGGATTCCAGGAAGTCAAAACGGCTGGAACCATAGCGGTCATCAAGGCAGTGTAGGATGGCTGATGGGAGACGATGGCGACTTGAATCGACAGCGATCTCTCGACATTCACGATCAGCTCTCTCAATTCTTCGCGCAGGATCGATACAAGAATGTTGTGACGATTTATGGTTTGGTTAATGAGCCTTTGATGCTTTCTATTCCGACTGAGAAGGTCCTCAACTGGACACAAGAAGCAACAAAACTCGTGCGCAAAAATGGCATCGATGCCACTGTCGTTCTTCACGATGGGTTTTTAAACCTTGACAAGTGGGATAATATGTTCAAAGACCGCCCGGATAATATGTACCTGGACACTCACCAGTATACTACCTTTAATACCGGCGAGATCGTCCTCAATCACACAGCCAAAGTGGAAATTATTTGCAACAGCTGGTATAGCATGCTCCAGGATATCAACAGCACCAGTTCAGGGTAAGTGATATTCATTATCTTCTCTATGATCTCACGTTAATAACTTTGGCAAAATAGATGGGGTCCGACTATATCCGGCGAATGGTCTCAAGCAGACACCGACTGCGCAAAATATGTGAATAATGTCGGTCGTGGTACCCGCTGGGAAGGTACCTATGCCACCGACGACTCAACTGCATACTGTCCCACGGCCGATTCGGGAACGACCTGTAGCTGTTCAGGTGCCAATGCCGATGTTTCGGACTATTCAGACAAGTACAAACAGTGGCTTCAAATGTACGCCGAGGCCCAGATGTCTGCTTTCGAGACTGCGCAAGGCTGGTTCTATTGGACATGGCGTACCGAGTCGGCCGCGCAGTGGAGTTACCGCACAGCCTGGAAGAATGGTTTCATGCCCAAAAAAGCATATTCGCCTTCCTTCAAGTGCGGAGATGATGTGCCTGACTTCTCTGGACTGCCGGAATACTACTGATTTTCGCTTTCACCTCCACTTACGCCCGTGGGGTGGATCTTGCATTTTCTTTTCTTACCATTGCATTGCTTGAACATGTTCATATACATTTTAGATCAACATACCCCTTGAATTCAATCATCCGCATTTATGAACATTGTCACCAATTCCCCTTCATTTCTTGTGTGTAGGCTCGTCTGCATCATGTCTTTCAAACCATCCACCTTGTTCCCACATTCCAGGTCGGTAGACGCAACTGTTCCTCGCTTCGACACTGGACACTCCGTTCAAAAGAACATGGACCCTTTGGAAATCAATCGGCTTCATGATCCATCCGACGAAGCCGCTGTCGATATAAGCCTGCCTGTCTCGTTCCACCAGTGAAGCTGAGACGGCGAAAATAGGGATACAGTCATTGCCATAGGCCAAGGTCGACTGCGCTGATGATAACTCGAGCTCGTGCTCGCGAATCATCTTGGTAGCACTCGAACCGTCAATGATAGGCATCTTCGTCTTTTGTCAGTTTGCTAAATGATAATAGTGGCTATTGTTACTTACTTGCAGATCCATCAGCACTGCATCGAATGCGTGAATGTTCTCTTGAAGAACAGAAGCGCACTCCTTGCCATTTCCCGTCATTCGGACGGAGTATCCAAATTTCTCAAGACGTTTCCGTACTATGGTGCTGTTTATAGGATCATCCTCTGCAACTAGAATATTCATTCTCGCTGTTTTCGAATCTGCGTTCGAAGCTGGATGCGGGCCGGCTGTGAACTCGATGGTGGATTGCTGCGAGGACGAAAGTGCAATGCTTCTTGACTCTCCACACTTCAAGGCGACGCCAACATCAACAAGTGAGCCGTTCTGCTGACCTAGCTCCTCTATATTTGACACATCGTCGCCGCAACGACATGATAATGGATCTGCATTTTCCTCGACCTCTTCGTCCTGCTTATTTTGAGGCTGCCTGTTGTCGCAGAACGCCGACGTCTCTTGTTTCTCATCGGATTTTCCGTCTGATGACCGAAAAGCATCTTCGTGCTCTGGCAACGGAAATTTGAGCCGTATTTTGAAGCAGCTCCCACTGCCTTCCTCCGACTTCAAACTGAGCTGTCCATTCATGTTTCGCACGATTCGTGCCACCAACGCCAGTCCCAGTCCAAGAACACTCTCCTTTTCCAATGGAGCAGTACCTGGGGCTTTCCCACATGAGGCGGAACTCTCCATGTCGCCTTTGCTAGAAACCTGCTCGAGCTGGCAGAACAGAGTCTCCACGGATTCCTGTGGCATTCCGGAGCCGGTGTCATGAATGGCGACTTCTATAGCAATGTGACCTGGTTCGCAGCAGGGATCCGAAAGTATACACGACTCGATTGTCACTGCGCCAACTGAGGTATGTCGAACGGCATTGCTGATTAGGTTAGTTATGACTTGTCGGACCCGACGCTGGTCACCTAGCACTGGGGGTAAGGCTGAATGCTGAACGACCTGCAGATCGACTTGTTTCTGTCTGGCCTCTTCCCAGAAAATATCGGTCGCCTCGCAGAGAGTTTCCGAAAGACTGAAAGCCTCGTCTTTTATCAGATTTTGTCCATTCTCTGCATTTGTGAGGTCCAGGAGGTCGTTGATGATGTAAACGAGAGACTTGGATGCAGAGTGTGACCTGGAAAGACTCTCTCGCGTTTCTTGGCTGAGGTTTCCGTCTAGAGCAATCTCTAGATAGTTGATGATTGCATTCAAAGGTGTTCTGAATTCATGCGCTGAGTTGGCGAGGAGAAGTTTCAATAGCTTGTCATTTTGCATCGCAGCCTCCTTTTCCTGCCAAATATCCGTGAATGTGCGGTACATCATGGCTAAGATGGAAGCTTTCCCAAATTCTCCTGCGGGCCACTCTTCTTGGCGAGTTTCCAGTTGCCTGCTGTTTTGTTCCAAAATTCTTCTCGAGTGGGATGACTTGTTCTCAGTTCGAAAGAAGATAATAAAGTCATGCCCTTCAGGTGAGAGAGGTATGTAAAAGAGCCCTGCAAGATGGTGAAATCCTGGCGCGTATTCTAGATCGTCGAAATCAGACAGAATATCTGTTGACCAGATAACGGTACGTAAATCTTTTGCCCTCAGATATTCAAGCAAGGCCAGAACTTCTTGCGAGTCTGGTGGCTTCCCCAGGATCTTAGTCTCGCCTAGGATGCATACTGCAGCATAGTCGGCTCCAAAGTGAATAAGAAAGTCGCTCGATAATTCACTTTTTCCTATTTGATCTGTATTCAATGGGTCGGTGCTTTTATCACTCAGTTGAATGGGCAACGTGTAGGAAAGTCGCTCAATGTTGCTTGAGATAGTCTGACCCATGAGCCACGATGCTCTCTGAAGGAGCGGATGGAGCCTGAATTTCGCGTCGTATGATTGACAACATACCAACCCCCACAGCTTCCCAAAAGCGTATATCCCAATTGACATGTAGACACTTATTGATGGGCTATTCTTCTGTAAGACCCTTCTGGGATTTGTTGTCAAGTAACAATGAGAAAGGTCGAGTCCCATTTTGTTTGTCGACGAGATGTAAGCCAGCTCTGCCTCATCCTTGTGGGAACTGTACGAGAGGCAAACGGTGTTCCGAAGATGTTTTATTTTAGAACCTTCGGTGAACGTGCTGTCGTCAAAGCTCACTCCTTCGAAAGACTCGATGTCAAGGGAGGGATCCACTGAATCTGCCATCACGATACCGTTGTGGTTTCCATCAAAATGATACATCGTTACGCGATGGACTTCAAGTAATTGCATCAAACCTGATACGGCATGGTGGATCAACGCATCCATCGTTTGAGAGCTCGAAATTCGTTGAATCACAGGGGTCAATCTGTTCACGGCATCCAGGTCGAGAGTATTTGTATCCGAAGTCGTACTATCCTGTTTTCCCTGTCTGGAAGGAGACGCAAACCAGGGCTCTTCGGCCAAAATCGGCTCACCTGGGTAGTATGTATTCTCGCTTCCCTCGAGAGGACTGTATCCGACGTTGGAATAATCAGGCTTCTCTGCCTCGAGCTCGCAAATGATATAGTCCTTGTAAACTTTGCTGGTATGCATTGTGCACCAAAATCGTTTCCCATTGCTTCCGGGACATCTTATGCAGAGTGGGAAAACCTCGGGCCCGGAAACTTCCACGTCATAATAATCATCCAGGACATTTTCTGCATGGGAATAGAATGCTTTATGATAGGGACCTTGCAGTATATTATATATTGAGGGTACTTCGAACAGGTCATCGGGTGAATAGCCGATAACATCTCTCGAGTTGTTGCTCGCGGCTTGAATAGTGAGGTTGCCCTCGAGCTCAAAGATGACAAGTATGACCCCGAATTTTTGAATTCCGATGGACTCATCATCATCATCATCATCATCATCATCATCATCATCATGATTCCCATCCCTGGGGTATTCGATACCTTTCTCTATCTTCTGTGTTTTCAGAATGGTCCCACCTTCATGATTCAAGTCTTTAAAGCGCGTGTTGGCATCGGTTTTTAACTGAGACCCAGAGCTTCCGTCATGGCTTGTTTCACTGGGGTCGCAGAACTGTGTCCCATTTGAAAATCGAGGATCATCGCGTATAGGCAGATTCAATGTCGATGTTGATGATTCTCCAACCTCGTGTTTCTGATCTCGCAGTTGGGAGAGATGATTCGGCCTCCTAGGTCCGCATGTCCAACTCTCGGCTTCTTCAGTTTGTTCTGAAGACTGGCCCTTAGGTTTCTCATCCAGTAGTGCACTTGCTCGAAATCCCTCCGAGAATGGAGAGATTGGGCTTTCCAATTTCTCGATGGATGGAGTCTGAAGAGCTGAAGAAGGCGTCGAATCAAAAGAAAGGACCGAGCGCACTGGAAACACTCTCTCGACGGTGTCACTTCCGAGCTGGGGAAGCTTCAGTCTTGGTGGATCGAGTTCCGTTACCGTAGGTATTTCGGTCTTAGAGTCGGACAAAATGCACATGGACTTTGGTATTGACAGAGTATCGGCAAGTGTCTTTCTACCATCTGCCACCCATTCATCCTTTTCGTCCTGGTCACTGTAAACGACTCTCCAGTCGCCGTGGGTGCTGAATTTAGGGGACGAGCTCATCGCCACGGTGATAGATGAGCCATCGGCTTAGTGTATATAAGGACTTAGTCTGTAATTCCGGTGAAATAATTTGTTAGTCTTTGAATCCGGCTTGGCCAGCGTTCGGATGAAGAGCTGGAAAAAAGACACAGGCACTCACTTCCTCACCCCTCTGAAACCCCAAGCCAGAAGTTGAATAGCGAGCTATGAGTTTTTACAGGTGCTAGGAATGAGCATTTAAGCTAGGCTTGACCCGAGAATGTAGCAAAATTTATGGAAAGAGAGAGACATGCTAGAGCTGTCTATTCTAGAGAATGTCCTCTTTCCCCGGAAAATGGACTCACCCCTTGCCCCCAAGTACCGAACAACCTCAATGCATTTCTCCGTAAACTGAGGCCTATCCAATTACTTGGTGCACAGAATGGAGCCTACCATTTAGTGTCTATTTATGGTTACCCCGTCGGGTTTGTCAGGGCCTAGCTCCGCAGGTGCTTCTTCTTCCGCGATCCGGCGTCCATGAGCCATGGAATTTTTCGAGGGGCATTTTCCACAGTCCTGGCCTGCAGATGCTAAACAATAAATATTTCATTGGGGTTTTTGACCTGTTCGATCTGAAACTTCAAGTTGCAAGTGATTGTCCCAAGTCAGGTTCGCCAGTCCGTCGAATTGACATCTGGGACGCATGTTTAGAGCAGTACACAGATTTGCCATAATTTGTCTTTCCACGGCACTCTCACGGAAGCAATCGACTGGAGAATCTGCCGCTTACAAAGTAGAGCCACGAGTGATTTCTGGCAGGGGGTGTGACCCTTGGTTGGACCCTGGTCTCAGACAGGCGTCTAGTTGCCTCAGAACATGGTCTCGGTGCGGATCACCCGGGTGTCCCTTAGTAGCTAAAGTTAGTCTACAGTCAAGTCTATCTGTATCATCGACCTAGTCGTTTTATGTTCCTACATTCATCGAGTACGAATTCTTGTGGTTAGATGAAAGACTGAAAATGGCAGTGACCAAGTATACGATCCCAGTCTTTTCGTGCACAGGTGTGTAGTACGCAATTCAAACCATGGCCCAAAGAAAAACAAAAACAAAAACAAAAATCTCCAAAGCATCAGAAATCGAAACTCCAAGGAGAATAACTCCAGACAAGTTGCCCTTTCGGGGCTCACTTCCGGACCGCGTGCAGATTTGCCATGGGCTATGGCTTGCCTCCGCAATTTGACTCGTGGGCATTAGCTCCGGGTTTAAGTATTATCCCGCATGAGCCATGTTAAATATCCCGGTTTATCCATGGGTCTGGTTTAGAGAAAGGATTCAGTTTATGCAGAGAAAAAACTCGGAGCATCGTACAAGAAGGAAGAGCAGAAGCAATCATTTCTCATGTACGCCTGCGGCAAGTAAAAACAGTAGAAAGAAAATAACAGATCATGTCCTGGTGGAATACAAGTATCCCTATGTATCTATCACTCATTAAATTGATTTCATCAAACTCTTGATATCATTCGTCCAAGGCAGGTCTACCAACGCCGACCATAAACCGAGTCCTCTGGGCTGGAACGATTCGACTGTTGCCGCCGCGCCTGATCTCGGGAATCAGAACGGGCTGAATTCTGTGAAGAAGGGGCATAATCTTTGTCTTCGTCAGGTCCTCGGAGAACGCTCGGCTTCTTGAAGTCCAAAGTGTTCTGCTTGTCCTCGAAACGAGACTCCGCATCGCGACCAAACAGGGCCATCATGTCGCGCATGGTCAGCTTGCCTGCGGCAGACTTGCCTTCGATGGTCATATTAGCGAGTTCACGCTTTCGGTTTTGGAGATCGACGATTCGCTCCTCGACACTGTTCTTAATGATCATTCTATAGATCTTGACGTCGACTGTCTGGTTGAGTCGATGAACACGATCAATAGCTTGTTCTTCCACGAACTAGATCAGATGCATTAGTAAAGTTTCCGCGGCATTTTAATAGAAGATTGAAAACATACAGGATTCCAGAACGGCTCCATAATCACGACGCGGCTGGCTGCGGTCAAATTGAGACCAAGGGCACCGGCCCGCAGACTGCAGAGAAGCACACGGGTACCGCTGTTATTGCGAAGCTTGTTCAGACTCGCCTCGCGGTGATCGTTTCTCATTCCACCATCGTAACGAGCGAAGCCGATATTAGAGCGTTTCAGGAAAGGCTCAACCTTGTCGAGCATGGACGTGAAGACCGAGAACACGATGAACTTGTAGTCCGCCGACTCTTTGTTGAGAATCTTCATCAAGTGGCGAATCTTGGTTGAAGGCAGCACGCCGTCAGCTGCTATGGGGGTTTCATAGATATCCTCATCGGATTCGGATTCGGATTCGGATTCGGATGCTGTTTCATCTTCAGAATCACTCAAAATGATAGGCTGGCTCTTTTTGCGTGAAGGAGAATCAATCTCGTCTTCTGTACCCGAGTCAGATACGCCCAGCCAGTCTCCCCCGCCTTCAGCATCTTCATCTTCAGAGCCTCCAGCCTTGCCGAGGTTTGGCATGTCGCGTTTGTCTTCTGGGACAATCCACTCGGCCTCCTCATCCTCCTCGTCGTCATCACTATCCAGAATGACACGTCGGTTCTTGCGGGATCGCGCTGCTTGGGAGGCGGCTTCCGGGGCGGCTTCCTTGAGATGTCGGTGAGGCTTCTTCTTCTTCTTTGACCTGTCTTTCTTGGTCTTAGTCTTGGTCATGAAATCCGTGTTCAGATTGGCCTCGCACTCGCCGCAGCGGCTTGCGCCACTCTTTCCTTCCTCCTGGCTGAGTTCGGTCTGGCAAACATCGCATTTCTTCGTGACGACACTCAAAGCACCGAAAAGATCGGCCACGTCGTCCAAATCGTTCGACTTTGTCTCCTTGGACTGACTACCATTGTTGCCATTCTGCAAAAGAACGTCCTTATCCGCAGCCAAGTCACTCTTAACCAGATCGGGGTGGTTGCAAGCTTGACGAAGACGCAAGAGCAGGACCAACGCCCCGGCATAGTCAAGCTTGCCTCCCATCATCTCCTCCAATCTGTTTTCTGTGCGTTTCTCGAGGCGTTTGTAGAAGTTCAATTCGCCTTCCATAAGCTCGCCGTCGACCCTGATGACTTCACGCTTGACGATATGGAAGCCATTCGACTTTTTATTCTTCTCGTCTGCGCCAGCCTTCAAGTTGGCGTTGTTCTTCAGGACGTCCTTGGTGCGACGTTTCATAAAAGCCTTCAAGTATACTTGTAGGCGTTGGATGGCGAGACCACCACGGCCGTTGTTGAGAGGACGACTAATCTGATCTCGCCAGGCAGCCAGCTCATCGTATGGCTTGATTCGGAGGAATCTAATCAGACTCTGTAACTCATCAAGATTGTTCTGCATAGGAGTTCCCGTCAGGCACCAGCGGAACTTGGCGTCCAGAGAATAGGCTGCCTGAGTTGCTTTCGCGTTCCGGTTCTTGATAGTATGGGCCTCATCGAGAATAATGCGATACCAATAAACAGAGAAGATTCCAGATTTCTTGGCCTTGTCTGCGGCGGCTGTTCCAGACTCCGACGTGAGAGTTCCATAGGTGGTAATTACAACATCATAATCACCCAGCGAAGTGGCCGTTTTCGCACGGTTTGTTCCGTGATACACGCAGACACGAAGTCTGTGTGTTTTCTCAATTTTATCGAGGATCTCTCCTTCCCATTGCTTGATCAGCGCCAACGGTGCCACAACGAGTGTCGTCTTGCTGAGCTTGGCTGCCGGTGGTGCATAATCGTCTTTCTTGGCCGCAGATGAATCGAATTTATCGCTGTGTTCGTATTCAGACTTGTTGTTTTGGAGCATTAGGGCGATGGCTTGGACAGTCTTTCCTAAGCCCATGTCGTCGGCGAGGATCCCGCCTTTAGGGTAAATCCCCTTAGTCGTACGTTGTCCCGTTTCTTTGTTGCACATCCATTTGACGCCCTCGACTTGATGAGGAAGAAGGTTGACTTTCAAGCCTGGGATGATTGCGTCGTCATCCTCTTCTTCATCTTCGTCTTCGTCTTCTTCGTCATCTTCCTCATTCTCAGCCTCTGCATCATCTTCCTCATCCTCATCCTCCGGATCGGCGACATCGTCCTTCTCCGCTGCCTCCGAGTCCGATGCTCCTCCTGAGGTACCAAGCACCTTGGTATCAAGCTCCTCAGGCTTCGGCTCGGTTGTCTTGGGGTCATTGACAGTAACACCTTCGAGTTGGGCTGCCAGGTCATCAAGGTCATCACTTGCGTCCTTTTTCTCCGCCTTAGCGGGTTCAGTAGACTTGACCTTATCCGCAGCCTTGGCCTTCTTTGACTGCTTCTTCTTGCCATTTTTCTTGGATTTGGACTTAACAGGCTTCTCCTCATCCTCATCCTCAAATGCACCTTCCAGGAGAGCCTTGATGTTTTCATTCGCCTTCTCGGTATCAACGTAACCGTTGACGTCCATGGCGCCAAAGCTAGGCCCATGGCTAGTGCTCTGGGAGTCTCTGTAAGTCTGATGGGGGTCATCTTGGGTCAAGTCTATGAAAGCCTGAAGGTTTTTCGATGCATTTGAAGCTTTCGGGGGGCCTGCTTTAGACTGAAAGATAGGGCGCGGGGCAGCCGGTGTTGTGTAATTGATATGCTCGGGGCGTTTGATCGGGGTCGCGCCTGTTTGATACGAGGGGCGGTGATCATTGTATGCCGAGGGCCTGACTGGCTTAAATGGGTCGAATGGCCGTTTTGCGGAGGGTGTTGCCATGCCTGCGCCTGGTGTTGGCGCACCTTGTGGTCGGTAGTGTGATGGTCCGTGTTGTTGGGTAGCAAAGGAGGATACGGGGCGAGGGCGGGGCGGTGATGCTCAGGTCTTGAATGATTGGATTTTGGAATATTAAAGGGGTGGTTGGAGTTGGCTGGGCGAGGCTGGGGCTGTTGTTGGCGCTGGGGCGGTTGTTGGCGCTGAGGTTGTCCCATCGGCGAGGGTCTGCCAAACTCCGGATGCTGGGAGGCGGAGCTCTGAGACTGCTCATTCGTCTTCCGCGGGGTTATACCCTCGACCGGAGCATTGCTCTCTCTAGCCATGGTTGGTGTTTGGTGGAGGGTGTTTGGGGATTCTCCAACGTGGCGACGTTTGCGGATTTGACAACTTGGGATCAAATAAGTTCGAGAAGCTGATGGTTTGGTCTGGGCAAATGTCGAGGGACTGTTTGGAGACTTTGATCGTCTAATTCGATTTCGTTTAGCTAGAATAGGAGGAATCAGCTTGTGTGTCGTAGCATTGCAAGTTACCAAGTATTCAAGGTGGGCTTGTCACGGTTTGGCGGGGTACCATAATAACCATCAACAATCAGTTCCACTGGACTGGTGTGGTGTGATTACCATGGTGATCCACAGTCTCCGATCAGAAAGTTGAAGATTTCAATCGAATACTCACCTGAAGTTAGTACACCTGTCAGATAAATCGACGCGCGGGGGCGGGGAGATGAGAAAGAATCGAGAATCCGAATGGCACGGCGTTATCGATAGACAATTTGTTTTCGCCCGGCGGATTCCCCAGCAACGGTCTCTGCCTGAGGCTACAACACAGATCAACAAGATCAACAAAGGGCAAACACTCAACCTTCAAGTTGGAGTTGGAACAACAAATGAGGATATCGAGAACTCGCCTGGTTTAAATTTTAAGAGCCGGCTGCTTTCCATCGGTGGTTGACCCGGTAATGAATCTTGGAAGTGGTGATTTTTCAGCGTAGTTATCAAGATGTACACTGTAGCTCTACCTATAGTACTCCAGGGAAAATCATACATCATTATCATGGTATCGAGGCAAAGCACTTGCTTTGATTTAATTCTACACTGCATAACATAGGACCATTCAAAATCTCCAATGTTATTATTCCTATGAAAACTTCCAATAATCAAGCCAAATGTAACGCCATGCCATGCACCATCCCGATCAAATCTCACCAATCACACTCTTCAAAATATCTGGGAGGATGACACTCGCATCACCCTCGAAAAACCAATCAGTCTCTTGCAGCGGCTCCGCCCGCGAACTTTTGGGGGAGTAGGGCTCCATATTGATCACGGCTACTCGTGCTCCCTGGTCACGGGCTTCATCAACGTAGCCCGCAGCTGGGAGACCTGAGCGCTCGTGCCGATGACGAGCATCAGATCAATAGGCTCAGAGTCCATCCAGTTCTCAACTGTTTCCAATGTAGTGGTGGGCAGGGGCTCTCCAAACCAGACCACTCCGGGTCGGAGAAGACCCTTGCATTCCGGGCATTGGGGCAGCTCTTCATTCGAGATATTGGGGATATGATTGCTGATGTCGGAGATGTCGATCTCTTCATCGGACTCATCTTTGTTCTCTTCCTTGCACTTTTTCTTCTCATCGCCCACCTTCTGGTCCTCTTCAGCCTCCTTCTCTTGATCGCCATACGGTTTATCCGTTTGCTGTGCCACCACATTTTCTTCTTTCTTTTCATTATTCTTGAGCGATGACTTCTTGGGAATGGCCAAAGCGGGAACAATAGGGTCAGTAAAATCCTCCCGGGTGTATTTGCAGTAGAAATCAGTGCATTTGATATCGAAAAGTGAGCCGTGGAGTAGATGTAACTGTCCAGGAGGGTGTTGTGCTCGTTGCGATAGACCTGAGCCCCCCCGACATAATAATCACGTTAAACGAAAGTTTCGCAAGACCACAGAATTGGGAAAATTAAATTATATCCAAGGATCTTACCGTCGACATTCTGAGAAAGGGTAATAAAGTCTCTATTCTTTCGCGACAACTCCGCCAACGCATAGTGTCCCTTATTCGGGGCTGCTTTCAACGCCATGTGTCGACGAAAGCTGTAGAACTGCCAAACTAGGTCCGGGTTTTCGTCAAATGCTTCTGGGGTCGCTAGATCGGTTGCATCGTGGGTACGCCAGAGTCCTCCAGCGCCGCGGAAAGTTGGTAGACCCGAGGCTGCAGAGAGACCAGCACCCACCAAAGCGACGATACGCCGACATTTCTTTAAATGAGCAGCAAAAGACTCGCGATCGGTCAAAGGAAGAGCGGCACGGGCGGCCTGTTTGGTAGTTGAGGCCATGATGAGGAAGGGAGAATGAGGATGAGGATGATGAGGCGAAAGAGAAAGCAAAATGCTGATGGATATAAGTATATGAAGAGCTGAGTTCCCCAATTTTGTTGGAGAAAATGGCGTGGGGCGCCGATCTCAGCGGGGCCCGTCAAAGAATTTAGAATTTCCCGAGTACAAGAACTACTTTACTTTACTCCGTACTACTCGTAGTTACTACATAAGTCACACTCGCGTTATGCTGGTCTGTCTAGTTTTTTTTTCACTGAAATAGATCCTGCACTGGTTTGATTCTTTGACATCGCTTCAAAGAAAGCCTCACACGTGACCAACTTATGTGTCAACAAAGAGACAATCAGTAAGACTCCGAGTCCTGCTCGAGAAGTGAGTCACACAGCGATCTTGTGAAAGAAAGTAACAGAATTTCGGCCCTGGTAGTCCCAGGCTGTCATGGGTCCTTCATGGATGCCCAGGTGGATCTTGTACGGTGGTTACTATGTACTAGTAGTCCATACAGCGTCGGAACATTTACTTGGCATCAAAAACAAATATAAATCAGCTATCATGTTCATCTATCCTAGCAATAATCTTAGTGCTGCTCCTCAGGGGGCAGCTTAACAACAACAGCGCTCTCTGCCAAAGCCTGATTCTGCTTATTCTTGGTCTCAATGTAAGAGGTGATATGCTTGGGAACCTCCGCAAGTTTACCATTACCACTAGGGACCGGCGTGCCAAAACTCTGCCAGACAGGCACAACGCCCGTCCAAATACGACCAGTGATCTGCGGATCCTCGGTATCCTTGCGCTCATCCGAGACGCCGCCATCTCGAATCTTGCCGCTGCCATCCATGACCTTGACCTTCAGGATAACAGTGGATGACATCTCTGCCTTGTCTGGAGGAACGCGGGAGTTATCCCAGCGATCGTCAAGAACGGAGTTTGTAATCATCTTCATGGCCCATAGTTTCTCCTGTTCATCTGTGACGAGGTTGGCGTAGCCGTGCAGGACGGCGGAGCGGTAGTTGTAACTATGCGAGTTGGGCGTCAGAGATAGGATTAGACCATCTACCTGGCTGGTTGCCACGCAGATGGGTAAACCCTCGCCGTCAGAGGCACGGGCGAGATTCATTATGCGCGAGCTGACGTAGCCGTGGAGGTAGCATTCCAGCGGCTCGTCAATGGTCGCGGAGGGGTACTCGAAGGAACCCATTTGACCGATCATCGGCAAGATGGTGGGGAAAGGGTCATCGGGGCCTGGATTAAAGGACACATGGAGCACTGGCGAGGCATTAATGATGGTGTGGATTGCACCAAGGTCATATGTAGCTGGAAGGGTAGTCCACAGTCAGTAATAGTACTGGGGCTTCGTCAGGGTGCAATACTAGTAGCAAAGCATACCACGGTGCTTGTATCGGTTGACGGTGTTCGACGACCGTTTGGGGTAGGTGAGGGTTCTTCCCATTTTGTTTCAACTATTGAACTAATAGGAAGTCTGCGGATCTAGTAGCCTGAGGTGGTTCAAGTTGTGTACCAAGTTTTCAAGTTGAAGTTTGGGAGATGCTCGTTTATATATCTGTTGAGAAGCAGCAGCTCCTTGACCAGCTGGACAGCTGGATATCCAATTTACCAGTGCCACAGTCTTCTATCATCATTTCCAACTGAATACGACGCGCTTTAGCCCGCCTATTTGAGTAGGTCCATCCGTGCCAGCGTCGACGGCGATTGGCCGCGAGCCTTAACTGAACCAGGAAAGGGTTGCGCCAGAAGCAGATTGACTGGAAGATGGGTGTTCGCCCGAGAATTTGAAACTATATACATGACATGATGGCCTTGAAGAGGTAATGATCGGTGAATTCTATGTTGAAGGGCGTAGACCTGGGAACCCTGGTAGATCCAAGATGATAAGGTAGATACTGTACAGTACTAAGGTAGTAACTACTGCGATGTATGCTGATTGCAACGCTTTGTTGGTGATTGGTCCACACCGCCGACGGGGGCCATTTCGATCAATTGGAAGCACCCTGGGGCACCTCCAGCAAGCTATCGTTATCACCGGTCACCTCCGTCAGGGTATACACATCGCAATGGCATGCAGGTCACTCGCCCGATGCGCTCGCCTGCGCCCTTCGTCTCGCCCGAGTCTGTTCAGCCTGACACAACCGTCCCGTCACAATTTCCTTCGTGCCCCTTCGCGCTCGTCCAGGACTTACGCTACCTCCGAGTCCGTCTTCGCCGCGGACCTCAAGTTCGGCCAGCCTTTGCACGAGACACACCCCCACCTCCTCGATCCCGGTGAACGTATGTGCATATACTTGCTGTTTCGAATCTTCCTAAGTCGCTACGAAGGATTGGACTGACCCCCAAAATATTATAGTTACTCCGGGAATCACCGCACTCGAATATGCCCAGCGTCGGTCGCGCCTCGCCAACAAGCTCCCCAAGGGCGCCGTTGCTATTCTCGCCGCGTCCGAGGTGAAGTATCGCGCGCCGGGGATCTTTAATGAGTATCGACAGGAGTCCAATTTCTTCTACCTTACAGGTGGGTACAATCAAGGGCGAAAGTCGCCAGAGGTAATCATTTTGACCATGGATTAGGATTCAACGAGCCCAACGCACTTGCAGTAATTGGAAACGATGGATCCGGAGATAATCACACCTTCCACCTCTACGTAAGGGAGAAGGACGCTCGAGCTGAACTCTGGGATGGTGCAAGGTCCGGCACACAGGCTGCCGTGGACGTCTTCAACGCGGATGAGGTGGGTTCTGCACGTCGCGTAGTCACAGGCGCAATTAAACAAAATGGACGGAAACAAGGCTAACACATCTGGGTATACAGACAGGGAATATCGAAAACATCGGAGACATTCTCCCCAGAATTGTGACCGGCGCCTCGGAGGTTTACTCAGACATCCCCTCACTCGATAACGCGAGGTCATCCCTGCACCGATATCTCTACGGACCGACCGTTGCGTCAGAGAAGCTGAAGAAATTCGTGGATCACCGCAAGGTCAAACCCCTCAAGTCCATCCTTAATGAGATGCGAGCCTTCAAGAGCGAGAACGAGGTAGTACATATGCGCATGCTGGGACAGGCCGCTGGGCGCTCATTCACGGACTCGATGCGTCAGACTTTCGCTACAGAGAAAGCTTTAATGTCGTATCTGGAATATCAGTTCAAGGTGAACGGCTGTGATGGGAGCGCTTTTGTTCCCGTCGTTGCGGGCGGACAGGTATGCGATGCTAAGGACTTTTGCAAGGATAAACACATGCTAATGAAAAGCAGAATGCACTGAGTATTCATTACACGAGAAATGACGATGCTCTGCGGTATGTCTCTGTCTCGATTTGCGATTGAGCCATATAACTAACGAAATTAATAAGGGACGGAGATCTCATTCTTGTTGACGGTGGTGGTGTAAGTACCCGACAATCCCGGCTTTCCTCTATCAGATGAGGAAATGCGAAATGATAGTTCTGACCGACTTTTAGGAACTCGGTGGCTATATTTCTGATATCACAAGAACTTGGCCCGTCAGCGGCAAGTTCACTGATCCCCAGCGGGACTTGTACAATGCGGTGCTCAACGTGCACCGCACGAGCCTGGCTCTTTGCCGTGAGAATGCCAATCTCTCGTTGGACAAACTTCACGGCATTGCCGAGAACGGACTCAAGGACCAGCTAAAGCAGCTTGGATTTGACATGTCTGGCACAGTATGTAGTACTATCCCCATAAACTATGACGAGGGGGCCGCAACTGACACTATACCAGGCTATCAACACCCTCTTCCCCCACCACTTGGGTCATTATATTGGCCTCGATGTACATGATTGCCCGGGATACTCCGGGGATATAACCTGAAGGCTGGACAGTGTATTACTATCGAACCGCAAGTTCCCCCCCCTGCCATATATCCCAGTACCATGTCACTAATCGACTACAGTGGTATTTATGTCCCGAACGATGAGCGATGGCCAGAGCATTTCCGTGGTATTGGCATTCGCATTGAAGACAGTGTCTGCGTTGGAGATGAGCACCCCATTGTTCTGACTCCCGAGGCTGTCAAAGAGGTATGTTTATGTTTGTTTAGATCGACATTGTCTGAGTGAGGGGCTAACTCGAGTACTAGGTTGATGATATTGAAGCACTGCGTAGTTAGAAATATCAACATATGTATAGTAGCTGTCAGATACCCTCTTGAAACCAAATGTACAATACTTCTCCAGCCCCCTCTCCCCCGCTCGACGTGACGTGGGGGCTATTACTTTCTAGGGTGGCTGGCCGGTGGTTAGCGGTGGTTGGTACTATTTCTTTGTTGCGATGACCAAAATAGACGAGGAAAAGGAAGAATAAGGAAGTCTGGAATTTCTCGAAGAAAATTAAGTCGAAAATCAAATTAGCATTAAAAATCCAAGAAATGCCCGGCACGTCGCGCCCGTAGGAATGTAATGTTGATGTTCATGCTTCGCGCGACCCTGTTGGTTGTCCCGGCGCAGGCAAAACAAACGGAGCGGGTCTCCACCACACCCATTTTGCCCTTCGACCTCTTCCTTCTTCAACCCCAATTTCACAACCTCAACTTCAACCTCCACTTGCCTGTCTACCCTCGTTGTGAAATTGAATTCTCCCTCCAGTTCGAACTCGACCGTTCTCTGTGCTACCATGCAGTGCTCCCTCTAAAATCACTGTCGGGACCAGCTAAGGACGTGTAGCACGTCGCGTGCTTGAACTCGAATACCCCTCTCTGACAGCTTGACCCTCAGCTGTGCAGAATCGAAGCTATCGACACGCTTGATCTGTCAAGCAGAGATATTGTGTCCATATGGCCGCTGTATTCGTGCCCCCCTCCCCCCAAACCTCCCTGAACATGTCGACTCGACGCCCTCTCGCCAACGTGCCGAATGCAACCAATTCTCCCCATAGGACCGGGCTCCTGCCTGCCAAACGAGCCCGGTCAACTCAAATCGAGATTCCGTACGGCCAGCCTCCGCCCAAGAAGCAAGTGATGGATGTCGCGGAACAAGAGACTCGATCTCCCTCGCGGAGTAGATCCACGCTTCAACAAAGCACTGAGTCTAGGCTCTTTGCTCGCCGGTCCAACAATGCCAACCCCAGCGCGTTTGAGAAGAAGCTCGTTGCGGCGAGAGATCGGGAACGGCAGCCCGTCGTGAAGGGAACCAAAGGCGAGAGGCCATCCGCGGATACACTGGATAACATTCGTCAATGGCAACGACATTACCGCAAGGCTTTCCCACAGTTTGTCTTCTATTTCGATAGTATCCCGGAAGATGTTCGCCAAAAGTTCTCGCGTCAGGTTGTTGCACTTGGAGCTGTAAGCGACTCCCTTCCCGTCCGAAGATGCATCGCGTCTAAAGATGTTGGGCCATTTCGTCCTGTTATGGAATTGATGAACGTCTTATCTTTTGTTCGGACTAGTTGCTAACATTCATTTATAGCGCGAGGAGAAGTTCTTTTCACGACTAGTCACCCACGTCGTCACCTCTCGTCCCATCCCTGCCGAAGCCGTCACGAGCCCAACCGAAGAGTCCACAGCTACACCAGAAGCCAGTGGTGATGCCCATGTTCAAACCGTCAACCCATCGTTACTGGACAAGAGTGCTGGTCGCCGGGATCAAGGAAGCATGGATGTCCTGCAAAGAGCTCGACAGATGGGAATGAAGATCTGGGCACTGGAGAAGTTGCAACGAATGATCACGACGATCAATGACAATGAGCTTGCTGGTCAGCATGATGCTGTATCGCGAAGCAAAGCTGCCGGTGGCCATGCTTCACATGGCAAGGGTGATAATGACCTCTCACGCGTCCTTCGCCAAGAGATGTTGAATGGGCCATCGGACCGCGATCCATTGGCGTCTATGGAAATGCTGGTGTTCAAGGGGCCTTTTATTTACATCCACGACATGAACGAGAAGACTAAGCCGGTCATGGTTCGAGAATATTCGCGTGTAGCCAAACGTCAAGATGGGTCTTGGCCCCAGTTTCGAAGTGCTCCACTGGGCAAGTGTCCTTTTATCGATGAACCTCCCAGCCGCAAAGAATATGATCGACACCGCATGCGTCAAGCCCAGAAGGAGAAGAAGGCCACTCGACAGAATGTTGAGGAGCCCCAGCCTCAACCCGCCCCTACTAACGAAACACCCGTTGACACCAAAACATCTACAGAAGCCTCCAAGCCACAGACGTCAATTGAGGAGCATTTCAAGCCTTCAACTCAAGTCGAAATCCCAGCCAAGCCTTCATTCGAAGAAAGCCATGAAAGGAAGAGCTCAGAAAGCTTCATCCCTCCTCATTTCCCTCGTACTGGTCCTTTCTATACTGGCCGCGAGCCTGCGGCATCCGGTGTCCAACCATCTAATGTCACTTCCGCTATCCGATCACAGATGATCTCTTCCACTGCAGCTGCGCCCGGTGCCAAAGCAGGACTCAGCAAAGAGATTCACGGGCTGAAACGGAAGGTTCTGGAAAAAGGGGACTGGTGGTATCATCACTGGATCAATGGCCGCGCCTCAACGTCCCAGCAATGGATCGTCACTGAATCCCACCAGAGCTCAATCAACCGAGTCTAACAAATCAGCTGTCCCCGAGAAAACCGGTCAGGAAGAGGATGGAAATCAATCTGAAGGTGTTGGCAATAAGCGCCGGCGGGACGAGCGACGGGACAACCAACAGAAAAAGCCCGAACAACGGCGACGGGACCCGAAACCTGGGTACTGCGAGAACTGCAGGGACAAGTTTGATGATTTCGAAGAACACACCCTCACGCGAAAGCATCGGCGATTTGCACAGAACACTTCCAACTGGGCCGAACTGGACGCCTTACTCTTCGAAATCCAACGACCGCTCAAGGACGAATATCAGTTTTGATAACTTCGAAGAGCGCATCCTTACGTGAATGCCCTCCAATCCGCATAGAACACTTCCAACTGGCCTAAACTGGACGCTTTGCTTTTCGAGATCCAACGTCCGCCCAAGGAAGAATATGAATTATATTTTTTTCGCGAGTTAATCTGTCGATGTCGATTCACCATGGTTCACCTTTGAAAATACGAATCTAAGCCTCCATCGACTATTGTTGCATTTTGCTGCCGCCGGCCCTTTTTTCCCTATCTTTGTCTTCCTTTCCAACGCTCGAGATCTCTTAATTTAGCATTGGATTACCCACGTCTCCCTACCCAGGGAAGTGGCATCTTGGATCGCATCACCATACCCAACGGCATCGATACATCTGCATCGCATTATGTGGAGTTTTCATTATCACCTCGCATCAGCACTGCCACGGCAGCTACTTAACTGATACAGCAACCTGTCTTGACCTCCCTGAGTGAGGTCGTCCATTCCTTTGAGCCCATCTTTCTCCTTTACTACCTTTCTCCCCACTGTATTTTCTATTCAACTTTTTCTTCTCATTCTTGCATGAACGCATTCGTTACGGAAAACGCAACTACTTATACAATGCCTCGGTGTACCAGGCTTTACCAAATCATGATTCCCACCCATATTTTCCTTGTTTTGTTTTGTTTCTTTTCTCGTGCCCAGGGGGTGGTGCACCCACTCCGCGGATCTTCTATCCGGATGTCTGGAGGCTCACTGTCCACCGTGGCCTCGTGGTGTATGGGCGGTTCCTGTCGACGTTTGACATGACTGCAAGGAGGGGTGGTGCATTGCATTGCATGGCATTCCTGTTACATGATCCCATCTGTCAAAAGTGCCTACGGGCCTAATTGTTCGCTCATCTACCCTGTTTTCTCTAGTTTGTTCGTCCGGTGGAGTCCTTTGTACCTTTTCCCCTTATTTTTCGGGTCTTAATACCCGGCGCAAGTGGTGGTTTTTTAGTTCTGTTCACTCCAGTAGTATCTACAATCTATTGACTCTACAATAATCACTTTCTGTTTCCTCCCTGTTGTAGCCGGAATCCCCCCCCTCACGAGCTCTGACCATGCGACATCGGCTGTTAATTTCACCCGCCGAATCTGTTCATCCTCGGTTATCACACGATATAGTCTAATGCTTAGTTCAAATACTCCAGTCAGTTCCCAAGTCCCAAGTATACCAAGCAGTCCTCAGCACTCTCCCCGCACTAACCCCAAAACAGCAGTTACCTCGGCCACGCATTCGGGAAGCGGTGAGTCGATTACGCCGAATACAGGAGATACGGTACTTAAGTATGTATCTACTGTACTATTGGTTTTCCACAGCTCATCGAAGAAACTAGATCCAAACCCAATTTTTATTTTTGTTTTAGAAATAGACAGCCAGAAGCTATGCAATCATCACAGACCGAACAATGTATACTATATGCCCAGCATCAAACTACCCCACCATGTCTCGCCCCACCAGGTAGAGCAGATCACCAGTAACCGCAAACAACCGAACTCCGGTAATGGCGGTATTGGCAGTACTGGCAGTACTCAGTGGCGGGCATCTTTAATGCCGCGGCGGGTCGAAGCTCAACCTCGAGATTCTTTTTTTAAGCGGAGATGCTCCCGTCTACGCTGCATAACCCAGAACTTCCCGGACAGATGGAAGTGGTGTTTATCCATATAAACGCCCTCATATTGAGAGAAGCAACAACGTGAAATCTACCCCAGAACTCCAGAAATCACCCTTCCTTTCCTTCCACGTGCCGAGGAATTTTGTGAGGTCATTGCCGTGACATCTGGCTTTGAGCTTCGTTGCACTGCGAACAATCGGTCTACAGCTTGGTTTTTCTCATTTGATTTTCCTTCTTATACCCTCTGAGTGTGAAGTGTGAGCTTGTATTGATCTGTACTGCTTGAATCCTCTCGCTTTCCGCTGTCCTCCGGGGCTTCTTCCCTCACACCGTCTTGCCTCACTACCTCCATCGATCTGATCGGCGACACTATGACTGTCCCTACTTCGGCCCTACGGCCGCTCTCACGAAGAAGCTTCCTTACCCCATGCCTACTGGCTTCGAACGCATTGCGCGCCACTACCCCCCGCTTCCAGAAGAATGTCACAGCCTCTCGATCTCCCGCTCTCTCAACTCCCTCCTCGCCGCTTCGCTCCCAGATCCGATACAGCTCCTATAACTCTCCTGATCCCGCGCCGAATACTCCCAATGCCCGAAAGAAGGTCACCATGCAGACATTGAAAACCCTTTATAAGAAGGGTGAGCCGATTACCATGTTGACGGCGCATGATTTCCCCAGTGCTCACGTGGCTGATGTCGCGGGGATGGATGTCGTATTGGTCGGTGATAGTCTGGGCATGGTTGCGCTAGGATTGGATAACACGACGGAGGTGAATATGGATGATATGATCTTGCATTGTAGGAGTGTGGTCCGTGGGGCGAAGAGCGCGTTCATTGTAAGTTGCCTTGTGGGTTTGTCCCGGTTTCATATTAGCATGGACTGACACTTTGCTTCTCTCCTTAGGTGGGTGATCTGCCAATGGGGTCTTATGAGATCTCCCCCGAACAAGCGGTGGAGTCTTCTCTTCGTCTCGTGAAGGAAGGTCGGGTGCAGGGAGTCAAAATTGAAGGTGGCGAGGAATTGGGTCCGACGATCAAGCGGATAACACAGGCTGGGATCCCGGTCGTCGGACACGTGGGGCTCACTCCTCAACGTCAGAATGCCCTCGGTGGCTTCCGGGTCCAGGGAAAGACGTGCACGAGTGCGATGCAGCTCCTGAAAGACGCGCTGGTCATGCAAGAGGCTGGAGTATTCATGTTTGTCCTCGAAGCGATGCCTCCAGAGGTAGCCGCTCTTATCACGCAAAGGCTCAAGGTCCCGACGATCGGGATTGGCGCTGGCAACGGCTGCTCCGGCCAGGTGCTGGTTCAGATTGATATGACTGGCAACTTCCAGCCGGGTCGATTTGTTCCGAAATTCGTGAAGAAGTATGCAGACGTTTGGGGGGGAGGCCGCCCGTGGCATCGCACAGTATCGCGACGAAGTCAAGAGTCGCGCATTCCCGTCACAGGAATACACGTATCCCATAACAAAGGAGGAACTGCAAAAGTTCGAGAAGACGGTGGACGAAATTTATGGCAAATAACGGAATCCTCCGTATCATGTAAACCATTTGGGAGGTATCATTTGCATGTTATTTGGGTGTCAAACAGCATCTGTACATAGTTCATTCATCAGTTCCGTGCGGCGATAGGGTCTCATTGTGCTGGCTCAACCGAATGCCGGCGTCATTGAATAAGCAACAATTAACTGATCATCGCTTTTGAAACACTGCGATGTAATTCATTAGCGGCTTGATCTAGCAAATAGGAAAGCACAGGACGAACTCTGAATAACCCGCCGACACCCTCGTCTAAACCGGGTGCGAAAACACTGTTAACGTAGCAGAAAACGGAGTCTGTATCTTTGCAGTCAAGCTTCTTTCGAAGGAACTTGACGACCGTTTCGAATTTTTGAGAGGCGCTAATTTTGAATACCCGATTCTTGAGTATTGGGGCGGATGGAAGCGGTTGAAAGCGAACAGTGACTAGAGACGTTAGTCGGAAGTTCATCAGATTAAAGAAAACAGCCTTCGCTAAACCAAAAAAAGCAGTATCTCCACATGAAGAGAGGGACAAGGTGGGCGTATCAGATAAGAATCATCCAGTCATACCTTTGCCAGCATCAATGGCCTCAACGTCAGCCAATGCTTGGTGGGCATCACGGGGTAGACCAGTCAGCATAACAGATGCCGTCATGTTCATTGGTAAGTCTGCACCATGTTCGTCGTCTGGAATCGGAGTTTCCAGGCTTGGGGAGTCTGGCCCTGGCCGTTGTCCTTGACGGCTGGTATTGCCTATATTAGGACTGGGTCGATGGCTGAGCGGGGTGCCTCCGCTGGACAGATTGGGAGAGTTGCGAGCTGAGCGCTCCGATGGTGATGATGGGTCCATGTCGATGCTCTTGTCCCAAAAGCCAAAGAGGACTAACGACGTGTTTAATGTTTGGAGGTCAAGGTGGGGGGGAAGTTGGGGAAGTTGGGCTTGGGCGGGAGAGAGACAGGGACAGGCAGAACCACAGCTGATCTACGTTGGAGCTTAAATCCCAAGCGCCGCCATCGGCCGACTTTAAAATCAGTGCCTAGAGTGATATATGCCAAAAGTATCAAGGGTTGAATAGAAATTATACCTAGAGGTACTCTATAGTCACTAAATATGAAAAGATTTTGCACAAGAATACTCTAAGGTTGCCCACTGGCCATAACTAATACAATGTTATAGCATACTAGTTCGGCTCCTGTGGTTAGTTAGCCTCTCCAGACTTGATCGTGTGCGAGTACAACACATCAGGATTGAGTAGGTTTACAAGGTGGCCACGTAACATCTAGTTAGTACCCAGCCGCTAGTTGGGCACAATTCTCTTCTGCATACAGATAAAATAGTTATCTTTGGATATCCAATGAATACAAAGGTAAAATAAAGTGGACAGTTGCGTGTATTCTGATCCATGGATCCCGGCTGAGTCATCCGTTGTTCACCTGCTACGCTCCAAATGGGCAACCCCCTCTTCCTTTCTCTTTCTTCCTTTCGCATTGCTGCTACTGATACCTCGGAAATAACTTGCTGGACATATCTAGCTAGTTTGGGAGATCTTCACTGCCCCTTCGGCCTCTCCTCGGCCTCTCCTCGCCCTCTCTACTTTTACCGCTGCTTCTACTTCCGCTCCCCCGCTCCACCTCCGGTCAATCTCGCGGTGACCTCATTCTCTATTTCTCGTGGTTACGCCCTCGACCAAGCTTCCCCCCACTTCGCAGGCCAGCAGCTTCAACACCTCTTCTGTTCGCTATTGCTGGGAAATTACCCTCTGCCCCTCCACGCCGCCACCATGAGCAGTCCCAAACGAAGAATCGAGACCGATGTGAGTACCCCCGGGCGCTTGGAGATAAGCTCCCACGGTCCCCGCAGTCGCTAACCTGTGACTCTTTTACTATTATAGGTCATGAAGTATGCTCTACAAAGCTTCCGCGCAACTCCTTCGGCACCTATGCTAACTCTCATCTAGGATGTACGCTCGCCCGTCCCCTCCCCCGCACCTCCCACCACATACGATTGAACGAAGGACATACTAGTTGGGCTATGAAGCATATCTGACCTTCTATATAGGTTGATGAGTGACTATGAGGTGACACTGGTGAACGATAATAGTAAGAATTTGTTATGCCCCTTCGACAAGTCGCAAGTTCAATTTCGCTAACTAATACCCCATGCAGTGTATGTACCAAACGCCTGCGAAAATTGCCAAGGAAACGACTTACATGATTATCCAGGCAGGAATTCTATGTCCGCTTCAAGGGCCCAGAAGAGAGTATGTGCGGGCTTGCTCATAATGGTTGGCGATCACATCATGCTAACTCTCCCAGCACCGTTTACTGGCGGACACTGGAAGATCCATGTGGAACTTCCTGACCAATATCCTTACAAGAGTCCGAGTATTGGATTTGTCAACCGGATTTTCCATCCCAATATCGATGAGCTGTGAGCCTCCACAGCATCGCATCTTGACTATGGGGTTCTGATTTCAATTTGCAGATCTGGCTCTGTTTGCCTCGACGTCATCAACCAGACATGGTCACCCATGTACGACATGATCAACATTTTCGAGGTTTTCCTGCCACAGTTACTCCGCTACCCCAATCCGTCGGATCCTCTCAATGGAGAGGCTGCCGCATTAATGATGCGGGAGCCTAAGGCATATGAAGCCAAAGTGAAAGGTTGGTATTGCACTCACCGTAACGTCCAGTTCGAGGTCCTAACTAGAGCGCATAGAATACGTCGCCAAATATGCCAGTAAAGAAGCCGTAGACGAGGCGGGTGAAGACACCGAGTCAGAAGACGAACTCAGCTCAGCAGGTAGCTATGAGTCTGGCGGCGAAGAGCCCGCCGGCACAATGGACGACGTTTGATCGCCTGGCCATCAAGCTCTCATCTGATATACCTTTGTTTTCCCGAAATCGGATCCGCACGCACGAACATATTGCATCTCAACTCTTCTATAACACTTTATTTCGCCATGGGATAGGATAGCGGGCGTTTTATTTATTTCCATGGAGTTTTCCTCTCGTTTCCTTTCCTACTTTGATTTCAGTGCGTGGTACACATGAGCATTATTCTGGAAGGAGTCAGCGACGGACCGATGCGCGATTTTTCACCACATGTGTTACAGCTTAGTGGAGTAGTCTAGCCTTCCCAGTTGCTGCGCCATTTTTGAATCGATTCTTTTGGTATATTTGAACACCCAGCCCTGATTTGAGTGGCCATTTAAGTCGATCGGAGTAGATGGTTCTGAACGAATGATGGGATATTGATGATCGTCGTCCCTAGTACCCCAATCTCCAGGGCTATATTGTGAGAACTTCTTTTTTGTCCCTGATGTCGCCGAACTGATCTGAGCCTTTCTCTCTCTTAACACTGGATGAGTAGGAGATCTTCTCGGCTGCCGATTTGCCATGGTTACTTTTTTGCGCTTGCAAGAAAGCCTGGGATATTTAATTTGGGTATCAGATGATGATCTCCAGGGCTTGTGACGAACATTTCCCCTGATTAGTTTTAGTTCAAATTTTCGGTATTGGCATTTTCTACATAATGGTTAGTAGATTGACTGATATTCTGTCCAAATTTGATAGGCCTTTGATGTTTCCAAAGTCGCCGCAAGGTAGATCTGCTCAATTCGACACTCTAATAGTACTATTAGAAGACTGGAAATCCGAAAGGGACAATATCTTGATTAAATCTTCCCATTGGATCTCCAGGGCTGAGCCTAACTAGATCTTTTGGGAGTGGGCCGCCAAGGGCGCATCATCGATTGTCGTATTAGGTGATCGAATACGACAACTCATGGTACCAATCTTTTAAGTTGAAGTCGCTTACGTTGGAAATCGTATACGCCCATTTGGCGATTTTTAAAAAATTCTTGGTCACTGGGACTTTTCGCTAATAAGCCCAGAGAAGGCCAAATTCCGAATCGCGATACGCCTTTTTGAGTGTTTTAACCTTAGGCTGCGCCATTCCAGGAAGGGGCTCAGTCCAGTGACAGGATCCATAATCGAACTAGTGCATTCTCCAAACACGGTAAAAGAGTGGCTTGCTTACGGAAACTCTTCGCCTGGTACTAGTAGAAGTCGGCGATGCCAATAGCTACCGCTATTTGGAATTAAAGCACAGCCTCCCGCACCACACAGGACATGCGCCCCATCCATCATGATGTCTTGTCAGATTGATTTGTATATTTGCTTTGAAAAAGTCCAGAAGCCAGCTTATAAAGAAGCAACGATCATATCCTATGCCTACTACTAATGCAAGCAATTTCTTTCTATCTCATTCTACAATACCAACGGATTGTCAAACAGGCCATTTCTAGAGTCCTCTTATCAGCCGTTCATCCACCAAACCGCAATCTAGCCTCCAACACTTCGAAACCAACCAGAAAATCCTACTTCTACTTTTCCTTCACAGCAAGCATGGCGACCGACGACTGCCTTTCAGGGTATTATTATACAAACGATGGCTGTTATCGAAGCGGTTGGTACATTTGGGGACGATGGGTTGTCCTAGTCGCTATTGCTGTATTCATTTTCACTGGCATCGCTCTTTTCACGTACGTTCCCTGTGTATTTATGGTGCAAGAAGTATGTTTGCTGACCTTATTTCTAGATTTATCGCTCGCCGCCGTCGCAGTAGAGGGTTGAGCCCGTATTACGGCACTGGATGGATGGCGCCTCAAAGGCCAACACCTCGACCTCGAAATGGAGATAATGTAGAGATGCATAATCCACAGAGGCGAGCCAACACCGAGACCCTGGAAAACCCGCCTCCGGCATATGACCCGCAACGCCTGCCTCAGTACGAAAACACAGCCACAACCACGATACCAAACAACGGTCAGGACAAGCCTGAAAATCAGCAAGTTCGCTCTTAGGGTGTAGAGGCTAGCCCAAAAGAGGTGATTCAAGTTACACGAGCTCTAATAGTATTATTTCTTTACAGAGCATAAGTTGACATCCGTGGCGTGACAATGGGAATGTTACTTGACTAATAGCGACGCAGCAGG